TCTCCCTAAGGAGTTCATTACTTAATAAAATGTCCTCTAATCATCTCTATGCGTATGTCGAAGTGTAATATAAATAAAATATTGCACGTTACACATAAAGAAATTATTCAAAGGAATTGCAATTTTTAAGCCTAAACACAAGCTGAAGAAATTGCAGATTTTGATAGTGTTACTAAACCGACTGTTTTTACTTTCAAATTTGACGATCCCATATAAATTCCAAGTGATTCATGATATAGTGACTAGACCTGCAAGAATCTGATGACATGATAACCTGCAGTCCTTTAATTATCTAGAAATGTGTAATCTAGAGGAAATCTTCACAAATGTCTTGTATTTGAATAGACCATGTCCTTGCTACGTGTCCTGTGTGGTCATTAGGACTGGTAAAGGTAGTAGTTTTCAAACCTTCGGGGGGCTTCAGAGAGCAGGTGATTTTGTGTCGCTCCCTCGCATTGATACATCCACTCTGTCGCTTATTTAAATGCAAATTGTCTTCTTTTGAAATCACCTCCAGCGTATCCACCATCTGGTGTCCCCCAGGGGATTTGACACAGACATAGGCCTGCAGGAAGGAGCATGGAGTAGAAGCTCTCTCTGGCCCCAGTAGCATTCTGGGAGCAGGTCTTTCTTCCGCTTCTGATAACCAAGTCATGTATTATTGATTACTTACTTAATCCTGTGGGGCTTCCAAGTGCATATGACGTTGTGAAAAAGAAGTCGAAGAATTCAGCGTCAGCCATACGTGTGACAATGTATCAGGATTATTCACCAAAGTGGGAATTAAAAGTGAATTTCAAATTTAAGGTAAAAGTAGCCGAACTGAAAAATAAAATAAAATCTGTAAGTCAGATATGCTTCCAGTTTGACTTCTTTGGCCTTAAATTTGAAACTCAATGTGAATTCTCACGTTAGTGATTAACCCTGGGTGTTGTCAGTCTGCATGGATACGATCTTGGTAAAAATACGTTTTTCTTCTCTTGTAAACATGATGTATTAAAAAACAAAAAAGTTGGGAAATGTTCTATTTTTTTCTTCTCTTCCTTTTTTATGCATTATTATAGATAATGTTTTCAAATATATAAAATAATAATATAACAGATACAAGGTCTGTCTGGAAAGTATCCAGCCATTGTTAATATAACGAAAAACGTTTTTTGTGCGACATTGTTGTGACCTGGTAGCCAAGGAGAGTGGACCGGAATGTGCATGCGTGAACAATCACGACTTTGCCGCGCTAGTCAGTGAGCATGTGCACTGTGTGGCCATTGCATTCAAAATGGCCGAGCGTTGGATTGAACATTCCTCCGTGGAAAGGATTCAGATGATTCAGAAGGCTTTTGGGAACAATGCAATGAGTGCAGCACAAATAAAATCACCCAAGTGACCCAGTCACCCTACACTTAAGATTTGGCACCCTGCGGATTCAGGCTTTTCCCAAAACAAAAATCAAACTTTGAAAGGGTAGACATTTCAGAGCGTCAGTGTGATTCAGGTAAATACGACGAGGCAGCTGATGGCGATTCCAACAGAAAATTTTGATGAGTGTTTTGAACAGTGGAAGAGATGCTGGGAGAACTGTGTGAGGTCCCAAGATGCCTACTTTAAAGGGGACTGAGGAGCCATTGTCCGATGTACAGTGTTTCTCATATCATGCGTCTTCTTTAATAAATGTCTCTATATTTCATATTATTTTCCAGACAGACCTCGTATATTAAAGGGACACTGTATGCACCCAGACCACTTCAGCTAATTGAAGTAGTGTGGGTGCTGTGACCCTTTTGCACTTAGTGCTGCAATGTAGAAAATTGTAATTCGAGACGCATCACGGACCTCCAGCGTCAGATTTTCCCCATAGGAAAGCATTAAATAATGCTTTCCTACGAGGAGGTCTAATGCATGTACGGCCATTGGCTGACATCGAGGGACATCGGCGCTGGATTCAGGTAACTGGCTGAAGGGGGTTTAACCCCTTCAGCCCTGCGGGAGGGGGAAGTGCGAGAGAGAGGGGGTCTTCCAACGGGTTTGTTTTCCTGACACTATAGGATCCCTTTAAGTGGATTAAAAATTTTTTTTTAAATGCGTGTTTTCTTGTCTGATCCTTCTCACTGTGGGAATCAGAAGAGGCTGAACATTTTTAGCCTATCGCTGCGCTTCCTTAGAAAAATGTGGGAGTTACACTGAGCTTCATTGCACAGGATGCAAAGAGTAAATTTTTGTACTACGTCACTTTGGTGCATTAACCCGTTGAGGACCAAACTTCTGGAATAAAAGGGAATCATGACATGTCACACGTCGTGTGTCCTTAAGGGGTTAAAGGGGAACTGTCAGTTTTCAGGATTTTTAATACTATGATTACTCATCCTCTATAATTAACCACCCTATATTTGTGCAGCATGAAAAATAAAATTTTAATCTCTCCATCTTTATCCTGCAGCTAGGCGACTCCATATTAGCTCCTTGTCAGACATTGTTATAAGTTCTGTCCTTTACACCTGGCATTTAGTACAGAGAAAGCATTCAGAAAAGAGGAGAAGTTAAACAATGTTCCCATTTCTCCTTATTTGCAGTATTTTCTCTGGCTGTGATTTAGCGAGATGAGATTTCTAGCTCTTGCCAGGTGTAGGTAGGCAGCTTGAACAACCTGAACCAGAGCCTCTCCTTACTGGTTGTGAATGGATACTATCCAAATAATGATGGGAAGCACGCCTTGTGGATGTCCTCAGATTCAGGTCAGGATGAGTCAATATGAAAAAAGAGAGGAATATAGTGTAGTATGTTACTGTTGTCAGTGAAGTAGGCAAGAGAAATACACTTACAGCTTTTTTGAACTCTACTCCGCTCCAAATATGTATGTCTGGGTGATACAATCCCACCTATGGATATGCCTGTAGCCTTGATCCTATAATAAATGTTATCTTGGGCTGATGTCTGAAAGGAGGTATATGAGGAAACGGCCCCTATAAGGTCTGATAGAAGGTATATGAAGAAAAGGCCCCTATAAGGTCTGATAGGAGGTATCTGTGGATACGGCCTCTATAAGGTCTGATAGTAGGTATATGTGGATATGGCCCCTATAAGGTCTGATAGCAGGTATATGTGGATACGGCCCCTATGGGGTCTGTTAGAAGGTATATGTGGATACGGCCCCTATAAGGTCTGATAGTAGGTATATGTGGATATGGCCCCTATAAGGTCTGATAGCAGGTATATGTGGATACGGCCCCTATGGGGTCTGTTAGAAGGTATATGTGGATACGGCCCCTATAAGGTCTGATAGGAGGTATATGTGGATATGGCCCCTATAAGGTCTGATAGGAGGACCTATGGGGTCTGATAGAAGGTATATGTGGATACGGCCCCTATAAGGTCTGATAGTAGGTATATGTGGATACGGCCCCTATACGGTCTGATAGGAGGTAAATGTGGATACTGCCCCTATAAGGTCTGATAGGAGGTATATGAGGATATGGCCCCTATAAGGTCTGATAGTAGGTATATGTGGATACGGCCCCTATAAGGTCTGATAGGAGGTAAATGTGGATACTGCCCCTATAAGGTCTGATATGAGGTATATGTGGATATGGCCCCTATAAGGTCTGATAGGAGGTATATGAAGAAAAGGCCCCTATAAGGTCTGATAGGAGGTATCTGTGGATACGGCCTCTATAAGGTCTGATAGTAGGTATATGTGGATATGGCCCCTATAAGGTCTGATAGCAGGTATATGTGGATACGGCCCCTATGGGGTCTGTTAGAAGGTATATGTGGATACGGCCCCTATAAGGTCTGATAGTAGGTATATGTGGATATGGCCCCTATAAGGTCTGATAGCAGGTATATGTGGATACGGCCCCTATGGGGTCTGTTAGAAGGTATATGTGGATACGGCCCCTATAAGGTCTGATAGTAGGTATATGTGGATATGGCCCCTATAAGGTCTGATAGGAGGACTATGGGGTCTGATAGAAGGTATATGTGGATACGGCCCCTATAAGGTCTGATAGTAGGTATATGTGGATACGGCCCCTATACGGTCTGATAGGAGGTAAATGTGGATACTGCCCCTATAAGGTCTGATAGGAGGTATATGAGGATATGGCCCCTATAGGGTCTGATAGTAGGTATATGTGGATACGGCCCCTATAAGGTCTGATAGGAGGTAAATGTGGATACTGCCTATAAGGTCTGATATGAGGTATATGTGGATATGGCCCCTATAAGGTCTGATAGGAGGTATATGTGGATACGGCCCCTATAAGGTCTGATAGAAGGTATATGAGGATATGGCCCCTATAAGGTTTGATAGGAGGTATATGTGGATATGGCCCCTATAAGGTCTGATAGGAGGTATATGTGGATACGGCCCCTATAAGGTCTGATAGGGGTATATGTGGATAGGTATATGTGGATACGGCCCCTATAAGGTCTGATAGAAGGTATATGTGGATATGGCCTATAAGGTCTGATAGGAGGTATATGTGGATACGGCCCCTATAAGGTCTGATAGGAGGTATATGAGGATATGGCCCCTATAAGGTTTGATAGGAGGTATATGTGGATATGGCCCCTATAAGGTCTGATAGGAGGTATATGTGGATACGGCCCCTATAAGGTCTGATAGGAGGTATATGTGGATACGGCCCCTATAAGGTCTGATAGAAGGTATATGTGGATACGGCCCCTATAAGGTCTGATAGAAGGTATATGAGGCTATGGCCCCTATAAGGTCTGATAGGAGGTATATGTGGATACGGCCCCTATAAGGTCTGATAGGAGTTATATGTGGATACGGCCCCTATAATGGTGTTAATCCTCGTTCAGGTACGCAATAACACATTCACTAAAGAAATAAAACAAAATATAGTGCTCTCAGTTTATTGATATGTAGGAAATTTAATAAATTAATGATTTTAAACATTATTTTTTGCTGCAACTGTTTCATTTTAGCTTGTTTTTACTAGCGCAAATTTGCAAATTAACCAACTGGAATCACATGGCTGGTTACCTGCTCTGTCATTGGATCTTACAGAATTTACCTACATGTGTAATTTTTGTCTTTTTCCCCACTAGTTGCAAAGCTGGGATAGCTGAAGATGTCGGAGAATGCTCTGGAAGTAGAAGACAAGCCCCCAGCTCCACCCCTGCGGATCACAAGCACATTCATTGGTGGAGGTGCCAAGGTTCCAAACCATGGTTCCAAACCCCTGCCCCCCAACCCTGGGGATAAAAAGAATATTTTTCGCTCCATCTTCCCTGGGACTGGAGGTAAAAGTAGGGCTTGTCTTTTTGCATCAGTGTTTGTCTACATTACTTGCATTAGGTTTTTTTTTTTTACTCAAATTTGCACTACTTGTAAATCCAAGATCACTTTTTTGGATTTTTAATATTCTGTTTACTGATCTCTATACGTAAAACTTATGTAAGGTCTGTGAGGTCCAATCAAATGCCGCACTTGAAGAAACCTTTGATTTAGGGATCGACCGATATTGATTTTTTAGAGCCGATACCGATACCGATATTCTGTGAACTTTCAGGCCGATAGCCGATATAATTTGCCGATATTCTGTACATTTACCATTTTGGAAAATAAAAACTATTTCTAAAGGTAAATGCACAAAATATACATGCCACGTGTAGTGGATGCAGTGTGACAGGGGAGCTGTGTGTGTTTGTGTAGTGTGTGTGTAGTGGATGTAGTGTGTGTGTTGTGGATGCAGTGTGTGTTTGTGTAGTGTGTGTGGAGGATGCAATGTGTGTTTGTGTAGTGGATGCAGTGTGTATTTGTCTAGTGTGTGTAGTGGATGCAGTGTGTATTAGTGTAATGTGTATGTAATGAAAGCAGAGTGTTTGTGTAGTGTGTGGGTAGTGTGCGTAAAGTGAATGCTGTATATACTAAATGCAAAGTGTGTGTGTGTATATAATGAATGCAGAGTGTGTGTGTATTTGTGTAGTGTCTGTATAGTGAATGTAGTGTGTTTATATAATGCAGAGTGTGAGTTTGTATAGTGTGTGTATATAATGCAGTGTGTTTGTGTAGTGTGCATTATATAAACACACTACACAAACACACTGCATTATATACACACACTATGCAAACACACTGTGTGTGTGTGTTTTTGTATAGTGTGTGTATATAATGCAGTGTGTGTGTGTGTTTGTATAGTGTGTGTATATAATGCAGTGTATTTGTGTGCATTGTATACAAACACACACACACACTATACAAACACACACACTGCATTATATACACTGTGTGTTTGTATAGTGTGTGTATATAATGCAGTGTGTGTGTTTGTATAATGTGTTTATAATGCAGTGTATTTGTGTGCATTGTATACAAACACACACACACACACACACACACACTTTACAAACACACACACTGCATTATATACACAGTGTGTTTGTGTAGTGTATGTGTATATAATGGAGTGTGTGAGGGGGCATTTTTTATTAAATTATTATTTTTATATTTAATTAATTATTTTTTTTTTGTTGTTGTCCCCCCTCCCTGCTTGTTGCCTGGCCAGGGAGGGGGATATGACAGTCCCTGGTGGTCCAGTGGTATTGGCTGAGCTGGGGGGGGCAGAGAGCAAGCGATTACTCACCTCCCAGCAGCTCCTCCAGCTCCCCAGTGCAACTCTCGCGGCCAGCGTGTCGCGCGGAGCGTTGCCATGGTGATCCATGGCAACGCTCTGACGGCCACGGGTCTCACGAGAGTTACACTGGGGAGCTGGAGGAGCTGCTGGGAGGTGAGTAATCGCTTGCTCTCTGCCTCCCCCCCTCCAGGACCGCCGGGCTTGTAATGAGCCTGGCGGTCCTAGGAGGTATTATCGGCAATATCGGTATCTGAATTAGCCGATACCGATATTGCCGAGAATACCGAATATCGTCCGATTATATCGGTAAAACTGATAATCGGTCGATCCCTACTTTGATTGACAATTGACGATTTTATTTAGGCATGATTGACAATAGGTTGCCCGGGAACAGTCCTGGGCTGCCTAAGGCGCATGTGCTGGGGTTGTAACTAGCCCCTGGTATAAAAATGGAAATATCTCTGCACATACATATTCCTACCACCTTGACCACTCCCAAAAGTCAATGGGACCTGATGGAATACACCCAAAGCTGTTAAAAGAGCTTAGTGGTGTACTAGCAAAACCATTAACAGATTTATTTAACCAATCATTGTTAACAGGAGTAGTCCCAGAAGATTGGAAGTTAGCGAATGTTGTGCCCATTCACATAAAGGTAATAGGGAGGAGTCGGGCAACTATGCAGTAGACATTGCTTACCTAGATTTCAGTAAGGCTTTTGACACTGTTGCACATAGAAGGCTTATCAATAAACTGCAATCTTTAAGTTTGGATTCCAATATTGTTGAATGGGTAAGGCAGTGGCTGAGTGACAGGCAACAGAGGGTTGTAGTCAATGGAGTATATTCGAAGCTTGGACTTGTCACCAGTGGGGTACCTCAGGGATCTGTACCCATTCTCTTTAATATTTTTTTATTAGTGATATTGCAGAAGGTCTTGATGGTACGGTATGTCTTTTTTCTGATGATACTAAGATATGTAACAGGGTTGATGTTCCTGGAGGGATAAGCCAAATGGCAAATGATTTAGGTAAACTAAAAAAATGGTCAATGTTGTGGCAACTGACATTTAATGTGGATAAGTGCAAGATAATGCTTCTTGGACGTAAAAACCCAAGGGCAGAGTACGGAATATTTGATAGAGTCCTAACCTCAACATATGAGGAGAGGGATTTAGGGGTGATTATTTCTGATGACTTAAAGGTAGGCAAACAATGTGATAGAGCAGCAGGAAATGCTAGCAGAATGCTTGGTTGTATAGGGAGAAGTATTAGCAGTAGAAAGAGGGAAGTGCTCATGCCATTGTACAGAACACTGGTGAGACCTCACTTGGAGTATTGTATGCAGTAATGGAGACCGTATCTTCAGAAGGATATTGATACCTTAGAGAGAGTTCAGAGAAGGGCTACTAAACTGGTTCATGGATTGCATGATAAAACTTACCAGGAAAGGTTAAAGGAACTTAACATGTATAGCTTGGAGAAAAGACGAGACAGGGGGGATATGACAGAAACATTTAAATACATAAAGGGAATCGACACAGTAAAGGAGGAGACTGTATTTAAAAGAAGAAAAACTACCACAACAAGAGGACGTTGTCTTAAATTAGAGGGACAAAGGTTTTAAAAATGGATGCAGCTGAAGTGGTAGAGGTTAACACAGTAAAGGAGTTTAAGCATGCATGGGATAGGCATAAGGCTATCCTAATTATAAGATAAGGCCAGGGACTAATGAAAGTATTTAGAAAATTGGGGAGACTAGATGGGCCAAATGGTTTTTATCTGCCGTCACATTCTATGTTTCTATGTAAAAGCGGACGTGATCATGGTGGTTAGAGGAACCCTTTAATATTTATCTCTAAAATAATTGGTTTACAATAGAAAATTACAAAATCCACTAATTCTCTATGGAAAAGGTAGTCTCGGGTAGGTGGGGGAAATTGATTACAAATACCTGCACTGACATCTGATATTTTCACAATATTACGTTAATGTGGCTGCATGTGAGTAAGGTACAGCGATGTACGACTTCTCCATTCGAATAAAGCTTGCCAGATATGGAAATTTTCATTTCCTATAAATCTCTACCAACCAGTGGGTGAAGGGCCACAGATGGTTCCTTGTACTAATTATTAAAAGCACTGAAAATATTACAATGGCGTTTCCCTAAAGTGTGAAATATCAGGATTTCAATGTGGATTTCAAATTGTAGGCCAAAATAGCTTTGCTTTAATTTTGTTTTTAAATCCTGATAGTTCATACTTTAGTCAATTACCCTGTAGATATGTAATGTTTGTGCGTGCATTTATATATATATATATATATATATATATATATGTATATACATACATATATATTTACATACCACTTAGTTGTGGTGTGGAAAAAAGTGTGGATGAAAACCCCTTCCACCTGAAGTGAGAGGATGGTTAATACATTGCAAAACACAAATACACACACCAGTCAAACCACAAGACTTGCTTTTCCCACAGAAATCTCACTTTAACAGTGCACTCGCTACTGCAAGGGATTCTGGGTAGTTGCTTGTTGAGCTCATTTGCATACGCCTACCCAGAATCCCTTGCAACAAAGAGAGCACTGTTAAAGTGAGATTTCTGTGGGAAAGCAAGCAAGTCTTATAGATTGACTGGTGTGTGTATTTGTGTTTAGCAATATATTAAATATATAAATTTACTTATTTTTTAATTTATTGTTATTTTTTTTTTTTTTTAAATCTGTCTCTGAACCTGTTCCAAGCATGCTCCTGTATTTTACTTTCTGATTGGCTGCTCATTTTCCAGTCTTTGTAACTTGTTTTACAACGGTTTGTGTATTTCGGGAAATAGGAGGCTGTTCGTTATGTCCCTTTCCTGCATGATTGGTTTAGTGGTATGTTGGAAGAAATGAATTGTTCAGTAATCAGATAAGTGCAACAAAAACATCTTTAACCCCTTAAGGACACAGCTTCAGTTTGTGACACAAGACATTATTGTGCTGTGTGTGTTCAACTGTAATCCCCATCGTTCTCGTGTGTTTCACCAGCACATGTTCTATACTGATTTCTACAGAATAAAAAGGGTTTCATTTGATGTGGCATATTCATATATAAATGGTCATGTATAAAACCTATATCTAAACACTTTTTTTGTCACACTTTATTTAGTACCAAAAATATGTGGATAATTAGTGCAGCGAAAGAAAAGTAATTCAAAATAAATTAATTCTATCTTTACTGAGAGGGTAGGGGATGCATGGAATAGCCTTCCAGCTTTAGTGGTAGAGGTTAACACAGTAAAGGAGTATAAGCATGCGTGGGATAGGCATAAGGCCAGGGTCTAATTATTATTTTTTTTTTTTTATTCTTTATTTTTCAGTGCAAAACATAGTCGTTACAACATTTGTTAAGAGGAGGCCAGATCGTAGCACATTCTTGCACTATTTTATTTTTCTAACATGTTTGTGTAGGCCTTGATCGCTATCGTGTCATCCCTCTATTCTGAGGTGGTTGAGTGTGGTATGTGCTAGCTGATCTATGGGTGAGAGTCGGTGTGCTGTGGTTGCTCGTTGAGGGTCCTATGGCTTGTTCATTCAGCCTGTGGGCTGATAGTGTAGCGTGGTATGTAGCCTCTTCAGTACAAGGCATACAGGCTGTGTTGTTTGGGTCCCGGGGGGGTGTTGGGTGTGTGAGATATGCCTTGTTACGTTTGTAGTGGCTCCTGACCATGGGAGCTGCGGGGGGGTGGTGGATGCGTGAGTTGTTTGGCGGTTGCCTCGTGTGTGAGTGTGGAGGGATGCTGTTGCTCCCCGTTATGGGGGGTAGAGCATTGGTTGTGTCCCCAACCTTAGGTGTGATTACCTGTGTGACTGTGGATGTGGTCTCTAAACAGTTGCTTGGTCCCTGGTATAGGGTATGGGGGAGGGGGGGAGAAACTGGGAGAACATTGGGGTATATATATAATGTCCTGAGCAGATAGTCCCGTGGTGAGCGTATAGACCGACTGGTATGGCTGGCTGGACTTTAGTCGGTCTGTTGTCTTAGGTTGGGTCCTCGCTGGTGCTTGTTCCTGGATCTGCCGTCCTCTCTTTCCCCCTTCTTGGGATGAAGGTTGTTGCCTGCGTCGGGTCCCAGCTTGACGTTGAGGTGGAGGCACTCTGTCGTGCAGTGTCCGGCAGCTGTGCCAGTCCCAGGGCCGTCAGGAATGGTGCAGTGTCTTCCATAGAGGTGAGTGTGTGTACGCCATCGTTCCTGGATACCATCAGGGATCCGTTTGCTCCCCATCTATAGCTTATTTTAGCTGATTGAAGCTGGCTGGTTACCGGTTGGAACGTTTTTCGCCACAGGAGGGTGGTTTTACTGAGATCTTGGTAAAACGTCAGAGACGCTTCCTCGAATTGCAAGGGAGTTTTGCCCGTGGGGGACAGGAGGGTGGTTAGCAACCGTCTGGCATAATGGGGGAGCTCGTCCGCCGCCACTGCGGTTGGGACGCCCCTTATCTTCACATTAGTACGGCGGTGGCGATCCTCCATTGCTGTGATGTGTGAGGTGACAGCTCTTTGGTGAGCCCATAGTTGTTGGACCGAGGTCTGGAGGTCTTGTACCTCTGTCTGGACGTCTGCTATGTCCCTCTCCGAGGCCTGTACTCGGTCTGTGATGGCCTTCATGTTAGTTTTAATAGGAGCTAATTCAGCTGCAAGTATTTTATGAAAGTCCATCAATAGTACTTTCAGGTCTTGTCTGGTCGTTGGTGTGGTGTCAGTGGGAGCATCTGATGGCTGCAGGTAAGTGTCCGCCGGCCTCTCTGCCCTTGCTTGCTCAATTGGGTTTGAATGGGCTTCAGGCCTTGTACCAGTGACCTGCCGTGCGGGCTCTGCGGGTGTGGGTTGGGGTTGCATGGGCCTCTGGAACATCGTTCCGATGTCTCTGTGCTCCACAGCCGCCGTCTTTTGCGAGCGGCGACCCATCGCTGGCGTGTGGGGTGAGGCCTCTTGTGGTGCTTGGAGAGGGCTCCCGACGTTCGCCTGTTGCCGGAGGACTGCTTCCAGGCTTGGCAGGGACAACGTGGGGTAGGCCCCGGTTTTCCGTTTTCGTCCGGGCTGGGCCTTTGGTTGAAAAAAAGGCATCTATCGCCTTGGGTGGTATTGGGGGACGTGACTGTCGGGTTTTGGGGTCCGTCTGGGCTTTAATTTTGGGGTTTTTGGGGGATTTTGCGCTGTAATTTGGAGGAGCTTGCATGCGTGGCGTCTGTTCAGGCTGGTGGTTGAGCTCCGCCTCTAATTATTATTTTATTATTATTATTATTATTATTATTATTATAAAAGTATTTAGAAAATTGGGCAGACTAGATGGGCCGAATGGTTCTTATCTGCCGTCACATTCTATGATTCTATCTATCTGGCGTGATTTACAACGTACATCATGAGTCTAGAATTTTTGTTAGTTTGTTAATTACAGCTGCACAAAAGGCAAGGAGTTAATTTTACAATATGTTATATTTGTCTTGTAACTTAGTAGCCATCACAGAAACAAAATTGCCACACAGAACTAAATATTTGCATAAAATAGATATCACATGCTATTTACTTAAGAGTATTCTGACACTTTTTATATAGCCATTTAACTGCCAATCTTGGTAAAAAAAAGTGTGTTTTCCTGTTTTGTTTTGTTTTGTTTTTTGCATACACACATATAACAATGTTGTAATGTGTATATTGTAAACCTGATGTTTGCTACTCCTGTACAAAGCCCCAAATTATGTTCAGCTCCGTCTTCTGATTACAACAGAGACCTTTGCCACAATCCCATGACACTACAATGCCATATAAGAGACCTGGCTTTTTAAATTAGCACTATAGTCACCAAAATAACTTTAGCTTAATGAAGCATTTTTGGTGTATAGATCATGCCCCTTCAGTCTCACTGCTTAATTTGTTTACATTTAGGAGTTAAATCACTTTGTTTATGCAGCCCCTGTCACACCTCCCTGCATGTGACTTGCACAGTCTTCCTAAACACTTCCTGTAAAGTGAGATCTAAAGTTTACACTTCCTTTACTGCAAATTCTTTTTTTTTTTTTCTTCGTTTATTTATTTTTATAGAATCTTATCTCCTGCATTGTTAATTTCCTGCTAGACCCTGCAGGTGCCTCCTGTGTGTGATTACAGTTCAGTTTACAGAGCAGGAGAGAACACCTTTTAAAGTAAGTTAACATCTTATTGAAAAGTAAAGCTTTTTTTTCATGCAGGCTGTGAGAGTCACAGCCAGGGAAGGTATGGCTAGGGCTACATAAACAGAGACAAACGTAATTTAACTCCTTATTGGCCGAGAATTGACAAGTTCGACTTCAGAGGCATGATCGATACATTAACACCGCTTCATTAAGCTAAAGTTTTTGGGGGGCATTGTAGCCCCCAAATAGTTACATAGTTCAATTTACTCCATAAATGCATTCCATTTGTAAAAGTAGATACCATGGGGTATGTCGTATGGTATATTTTGTATGTTAAAGGGACACTATAGTCAGCTTAATGTAGTTGTTCTGGTGAGAATAGTCAGTCCCTATAGGCTTTTTGCTGTAAACACTGTGTTTTCAGATAAAATGCAGTGTTTACATTACAGCCTAGGAACAACTCTAGTGGCTACTCATCTGACTGCCGTTCAGCGTCTCTGAATGCTACCCATAGAGATGCATTGATTCAAAGAGTTGCGTTTGGCCCCGTCCCCTGCCTCCTTGGCTGAGCTCATCAGAATTGATTATCTCCGCCAAACCATTGCTTTCCTATGGCAAAGCATTGTGATTGACTGAGATCATCAATTCTGATGAGGTCAGACAAGGAGGCGGATCGGGGGCTGCGCCAATGCCGGTGGACCTTCATGGCGCTGGAAAAAAGGTGAGTTTTTTTTTTACTTTTTTTAAGGGGGAGGGGTAGGGGGCTAACATGTGTTTTATCACTATATGGTCAGGAATACAAAGTGTTCCTTTAATACACAGCCATATTTTCACCAATTATTTTCAGAGTGTATGAAATTATATTTAGTGAAGTAGATTTGTGCCACTGTAATAATTCACAAATTTGTGCTCAGATATATCACCTGAGTATAGCCTGACACAGGCATTCCCTAGGACAGGCATAGGCAACCTTCGGCACTCCAGATGTTTTGGACTACACCTCCCATGATGCTTTGCCAGCATTATGGGTGAAAGAGTATTATGGGGGATGTAGTCCACAACATCTGGAGTGCCGAAGGTTGCCTATCCCTGCCCTAGGATATCCCTAGGATAGCCAATACATTGTTAAACACAAATCTGTACACCAGTCAAGCCATAAGACTTGCTTTTCTCACAGAAATCTAAACTTTGCAGTGATGTTACTACTGAAATGAATTCTGGGTGGGCATATGCAATTGAGTTCAACATAGAATCACATTTTTGCATCAGTATTCCATTTTAAACATGGATTCCTTGGAGTTTATGTTTGCTGTATACAACAGCTTTGAGACACAACTCAGAAAGAGGTGCAAAGCCAGTGAACCACATGTTAAACTAATTTGCATATGCCCACCCAGAATCCCTTGCAGTAGTAACATCACTGCAAAGTTGAGATTTCTGTGGGAAAAGCAAGTCTAATGGCTTGACTGGTGTACAGATTTGTGTTTAGCAATGTATTGACTATCCACTGACACAGGTGGAAAAGGTTTTCAATCACAATTTTTTATCCCACCATAACTTTGTTGGTGTCTACTCCACAATATCCCTAGAAAGACAAAGCTGACTCTTACTGATGAAGCTCAAGGTGGGGGTGGAAGAGTCCCTTATCCAGGGAGATTTTCCCAGGATTATGGTTACAGAACCAATCCCTGGTAGTCAGGATTAGTCTGAAAAGAAGGCAGACTTCTCCGTAAAGGCACAATTGGAGCCCGTACAACCTTGATGGAACAAATACCTTGCACGAGAGGTTAATACTTCAGTAAATGTTTGAAATGGGGGTCAGCTTGAACATTTCTGTGTGAAGCCTAGAAATCGCACATTGTCAGCATTTCCTGCACAGGATAATTTAATATTCTTCTTCTTGCATTTAATGTGTTATGCCATGACAGTTCTGCTAGGTCGGTTTAAGGTGGAAATCTCCTGTCAACGTGCTCACAGACCCTGAACAGTTTGAATACATTGTGTCGATTTAATTAGCTTTGAGTTTTTGCAAGATTTTTTCCCCATTTACTTTTGGAATACAATCATTTTTTGTTTTGAATTGTTTTATGTTTTTTGTTTTACGTACATCTCATTCTTCTGCAAAAAATCTTTACCAACTTCAGTTGTTTTTTTGTTGTTATTCAGGCACTAAAACAACATGGAAACCGGAAATCTCTCTCCCCTCGGATTTTGAGCACACGATTCACGTTGGCTTTGATGCTGTGACAGGAGAATTTACAGTAAGACGTTGATCATTTCTCTTGACTTCCTAATAATTAATTGTGTCTTGAAGAGAGATAAAATAGTGGGATAGAATATCTAATGTGACAAAACAAAAGCCAAATATAGAGAGAGCGTCCCACTAAATAAAGGTTCTCGTCACTAAAGCCATAAAAAGGTGAAATGATGACAGACTTGGGTTCACCAAACATCAAATTGAATCAATCTGCTGAGTGGTTAAATTTATTCTGTAATATCCAAACTGTAACTGTAGCAGAATATTTTTCTAAAACTGTCATTGTTGCCTTCATTTTGTAATTCATCCTTTTTTTTTTTTTTATAAATAGAACCCATTACCTGAGCTTAGAACCCACTGACTTTATTCTGGCTATAAAGGAGTTTAACAGGATTGACCAGGCTAAACGCATTCTGTGAAATCTGTTAGTGCTGTCTACAGAATCACTACTATTAGTCTCTTTTTATGTATTTATTTTAACTCGTGAAATGCACCTTATATGGTAAGCTGTGAGATTGCTGGTCTGTTTGTCTCTTTAAATCTTATCTCTATTAATATAAAACTGCAGGGCATGATCTATACACTAAAATGGCTTAATTTAGCTGAAGTTGTTTTGGTGCTTATCTCCTATCTCTTTAATATACAGATGTTTTCAAGCTACAGTGTTAAGTATGCAATTCTTTATTTCTACCCTGAACAGATGCAAACTTTAATGGGGAACTAACTTAAATGACTGTACCCCCTTAGTGTGAATGATATTGCACCAAGCCACTCTTGATGACTTCACTGAAATTATATTTTTAGCAAGTAACCAGTATCCCTCCTCTAAGCAGTAGAAATGGCTAACATTGCAGCTCTAAGTCTGCCCTCAGTGGCTGTTTACCAGTCAGCCACTGGGGGTGCTTCCTGAATTGAAACGGACCTTTGGTCCGGTATCTGGCGTTGGAGGTCCTCACGCTCTGCATGAGGACACCCAGCGTCAGAATTTTCCCCATAGAAAAGCATTGATTCAATCATCGCGGAACGGAGGAGGGGGCAGAGCGTCGGCCCAGTGCCAAGGGACATCGACGCTGGGAAAAGGTAAGTAAATAAATAAATTAACCCTTTATTTACCCTGGGGGAGGGGAAAGGGGAGGCGGGAGGCAGGAAGGCAATAGTGCCAGGAATACAGCTTTGTATTCCTGGCACTATAGTATCCCTTTAATAAACCCCTGCATTTGATTGGCAGCTTAGTTTAAAATCTCCTTGCTGATTACTGCTTCTTGGTTGTTTGAGTTTGAAGACTATAAGGATGCCTGCGAGGCAGGTTTCCAGTCTTGACAAAGTTTAGCACGCTGTGTTTATTCACAAACTGGTATTAAGACACATTAAACTCTGTGTGACTGATTTCAAGGCTCTCACAGGCAGCTGTGAAAGAACCCTGTTCAAAGATCTGTGTCTTGTAACATAGTTATGGCATTAGGGGGCGAGGCATCTCAAGGTGCCAGGTTTGCTATCCAACTTATATCATACATAGAATGCTCAGGATTGTCAGGAATTCAAAGTGAATTTGATATTTAAGGCCAAAATAGCCAAATTGGAAGCAAAGCTGACTTGGAGATTTTTTCCAGCATGGCTATCTTGGCCTTAAAATTTAAATTCACTTGGAATTCACGACAGTTCTCACTGCCAGTCCCTTTTCAGGAAAAGGGCAGGAGCTATCAGATTCTAAATGAAGCAGGCAGCTTTTTAACAAAAATAATCATTTTACATATATTAAGGTGATTTTAGGAATCACTGTTTCTTTAAATTTTGCAGCTATGCATCTTTCAAAATCCCACCTGCTTCACAGCAGTCCTAAAAACAAAGTGTGAGTAGGGGGGAGAGTGGGGGAAATGTAGAAGCACCTATTTCGTTTTTTAGATTTTTTTTATTTTTTTTAATTATAAACATTTTAAACCGGTTTTCATTATTCCAAGAGTTACTGTCCCTAAAAAGGCTGGCTCTGTTATTTGATCATTATTAATTTTACAAACATTTTTCTCATCCCATGTCGTATTTCTCATCCCATGTTGCTGCCTACTGACTGTTCTTGTGTCTGTCTAGGGCATGCCAAAACAATGGGCCCTGCTTCTACAGACCTCAAATATCACCAAATCGGAGCAGAAGAAGAACCCGCAGGCTGTGCTGGACGTGCTGGAATTTTACAACGCGAAAAAAACCTTGAACAGCCAAAAATACATGAGCTTCACAGGTAAACGTTCCAAAACTAGGAAACGTCCAGTCCACATTCTCACCTACCTACCATGTTACCCACCTTCTCTCCTCTTTAATCTTGCACTCATTCACTCTCCTTTCATTACCACTTTCTTCATTCCTTCAGTCCAGATTGCTCCCCATTTCAGAGATTTCACAGATTTTTCACCTGTCCACCAACTTAGTAGAAATCGTATGAAGATTACAGGAAGACAGATTTTTTTTTTTTACAGGAAGAATTTGTTATTTTATGGTTTTCCTGACCCCTACGATTAAGTCTCCCCTTTGGTTTAAGAGATATTCGGAGGGGAATCCCTTCTGTAATTCATTACGTGATCATTTTGGGGTTTTTTTGGAGTGAAACTCGCCCACCCTCTGTCAGCAGTTTCCAAGCCCTGACATTCCTGATAAGCCGCCTGCCTTTTGTGAAGTGGGAATTGCACAAGCAAAGCAATAGATGCTAATTGTTTCCGATATGAGTCATGAGCATGCTCCCTCGCCTCACTCAGGATGTGATGCTGAGTTCTCTTGCTAGCTTCAGGCATGACCATATTGTTAGCGTTGGCTGACTTTCCAAAAATGTCTCCTCTACTGTGATTGCTCAGTGGGGCTTAGCTGTGCGACGGCCGCCAGGCTCGAACACAATCCTTGCTCTCTGCCTGCATCTAGAAACCTCCTTTACTGGGTCCACCAACCAATCACAGGTAGGACAGGTGTGAGCCCCCGAGGCTAGCTTTTCTCTGTAGTTATTAAAGGACTCATCACCACTGACATGCGTGATGCATGATCATTTAGAACAATATTTCCTGTTTTAGAAGCAGAGTTCAGTTTTTCTTTTATTCTGCAGTGGATAGTAAATGGTTGACTTAAAGGGATACTCCTTATGGGGCTAATGCTTTAAACAAATGCAACATTGTATTAAAAATATTTTTTTTTTTAAATATTTTTTTAATGAAAATCTTCAGCTTCTTCTGAGACCAGGAATTGGCTGCATACTGTGAGCCAATCCTGGGCTCTTCATTATTGTCAGCAGGGGTTAAGCATTTCTTATAAAGTTCTTCTGAGCCATAATTTGATAAGGAGGCAAACATACTGTAAATTGTATTTCCTCCACAGTTTTAGCTTTTGTAGTCATGTCATTTCTTTGAAAACAAATATCCTTTGTGTGTATAATATTTTATGTTCAAACCTGTCTATGCCTCACTTTTATACAGAGAATTCATTGGACGCATACAATTCAACAGTGAATTTGGTAAGTTCTTTTTAACCCACAACCCTTTCTTTTTTTTATATATACATTTTATTGTGGTCCAGTCCCCCGAGATAGACTGCACATTAAACTATGTGTGTGTTATTGTTCCAGTCTGTTAAAATGTCGTTAAGTTAATCTATATACCTGTAATTACCCTTACTGATATGCACAGTCTGACTACAAAATAATAGAGTTACAGCAGGGCAATGGCTGGACCCATTTAACTGGCTGGTACAAATACAATATAATTTCTCATTAAATATTTATTCTTGGTATAAGATATTTCTCGATATTATTTGGTACAGTACATGAAGCCTAGGTGAACTCTCTTCATTTTGACAAGCTTGTTCCCAGTTCCATGAAAGGCAACGGCTTTGATGGCAATTTTTCAGAAGGGGCTGAGCATTGTTCAAACATTCACAAATAATATTAACACTCACAACACTGCTTCTTGTGAAGATGGGGGGCATTTGTCAACCCCTCCACCCCAACCATTATTTAGAGAACTGTGGAGCTTCACATCTCTCTCCCTTTTTATTGCAGCCCTCCCACAGCACCGGGGATGGTGTTGAGGTCAGAGCCATCATGAATCTCAAATGTATCACTGGTCACTTGTGTTCAGTCCCAGCTTTCTGAAACTGGTGAATGTGTTAGAATGTGTATCCATTTGGCACATTCACTAATATTTGTAGTTAAATGTACATTTCCTGAGTTCATTAACTCAGATAATTGTCACTTTACATACATTTACTCCTAGATCCCATACAGTATTTTTTCATTATGTAGGTCTTCTTATAGCACTAGACACATGCCTGCACAATCTGTGCCCCCCCACTCCCTGGATATTTTGAACTGCAAAGCCCATGATTCTTTGAATGAAACAGATAGCCAGGGAATCATGGGAGTTGTAGTTCAAAACATCTGGGGGAGGGGAGTAGGTTGTGCATCCCTGCACTAGAGGCTGTACAGTCATTTTGAAAGGGGAACCCAGTAACCTACAAAATAATGATTTGCTGCCCCAGAACATACAGCACATTTTCGAAATGTGCTAGCAATTTCCTCCGTTTTCCACCCCCTCACTCAGTAATGTTGAGTGCACGTTATGGTGATGCACTTCACCCAGATTAAATAAATCTGCTATGAATGGTACATCTATGAGTAGCCTACTGACCAGAGGTCCTGTTTTTTTTTGTCTAATACACAGAGTACATTTTCCAATTGGTCGTTTGTCTTTATATCCTGACAATACATTTAGCACCAAGCATGTCGTTTAACCAATTCCTTTGTAGACAGGGATCCTATCATGTGGTATGGCTCCTTCACTCCCAGTGGGCATATAACTAGTCTCTACTCCCCTTCTCGCTCTCCCCGTGGCTCTTCTACCCTCCTACTTTGTCGGTGGCTCGTCATTGCTCCTATTTTTGTTATCTCTGTGGCTCTTCTTCTCTCTCAATCTCACTTTCGTAGTGGCTCATATTCTCTCTCACTCTTGATAAAGACATATTTTTTCTTTTCATAAAATTATAAGCTCTACTTGAAGGAAAACAATATATGTTTACTTCTTGCTCAACGTACTAGGACAAACTAACAACAAGCAAACTATTTGCTTTCATAGTGAAACACAGCACATACAGACTGCAGGCACCATGACCACTTCAAATACCTTAAGTGTTCACGTGCTTGTAGTAATCGTTTAAATGTCTACGAAGGCTAGTGTTATCTTTTTTTCCCCCTCTTACTATTTTTGCACTTCTGTCGAAAGACTAATTTTTTTATCTAGAACATGAAAATAGATATGTTTGTGCAGGGAGTTGGAAGCGTGTTTTTCTCTCTGTGTTTGTGTATAATTGTATTATTTTTTGTAATATGTGCAGAATGTGAAGTCCGTTTCAGAAACGCCAACTGTACCGCAAGTGTCAGAAGATGAATTTGAAGTAGATGATGACGACAGTGAAGCTGCTCCCCCACCTGTTGTCGCCCCACGCCCAGAACATACAAAATCGGTGAGTATAATGTAGGATATAGATCTGAAGTTACAGAAAAAAAAATCTCTTACTTGTTTCCCATGTCCATGGGGCTTCTAGTGTAGATCCTGGTAACGTTTTGATTGCTCCCTTTTAATGGGATTAGTTCTTTATTGTACAATGTGCATTATATTAAAGGGACACTCCATACACCTAGATCACTTAAAAGTGCAGATTTCAATATCAATAGATACTTTTATAAATTGAAAAATGTAAATCCAAATTGTGGGCAACATAAAATAGTAAAGAAATTTATATAAAAATAAATTTTAAAAAAAGACAGACAGCAACCCAAATCAGAACGAATAAACAGTAGAATACTTTAAATGCAGAATTCTGGTGCGCGAAGAAAAAAAATATACAAATTAAAAATATTAATATATTTTAACCCAAACATTGTTTTTTGTTTAAAAAAAATACAAAATCATGTGATTAGGGAAATTCTCATATGTAGCATATAAGCACTAAATAGCAAGATATCGAGCAAAGATGCAGTGTACAGCTGGTTATTTAACCTGAATGCAGTATAACTACAAACAAATAAGCACTGAATAGCAACAATGTAGCACAATCTAAACAATTGTAATACCAGACAGATTGGTTATAAATTATTGTAGAAAAAGTTACAGTAAATGATCAGATGGATCTACTTGGGTCACCTAAACAGTGCAAATCATGTCCAGCAGCACTTAGCTAGGCACTGTACCTGCAGTACCTGTACCTAAACTGAGGACCCCAAATTAGATTTTAATAAAGGCTATAAGAGTCCAAAAAAGACAGATGTATGCAGTCAATGAAAGAATACAATAAGCTCTGTAGCTGCTACCTAAAAGGGTGAGCCCCCATTGTAGAACCTAAATCGTCCACCAAGCTGCAACGTCCCAAAAGGTAGATTCCAGTTGAAGCTGTAATTCTCGGACAATGTGATCTGTAGCGTCTGCTTTCAAAATTCCACCAAACAAGACGACAAGCCCAGGGGCAGAGATTGACAGCCATCCTGAATAGATGCCATCTCTAACAGCTCCTCAGCAAAAACTCTTTTTGCATAATGTACTGATTATATTATTGTGTTCTGTTGTACACATTCTTGCATACTTGAACATGACGCAAAAACAAAGAATTATAAAAGAAGACAAGCCCAAAAAGGCCTGATAGTGTAATCTACACACCCACAGTCTACGTGTTTTGTCTCTTCAAGAGCATTTATCAAGACGTTGTTATTGCGTCTTTTTGGGTTTGTCTTCCTATTGTTTGTCGGGCTTTCGAAATTTATAGCAGACGCTACAGGTGACATTGTCCATGTATTACAGCTTTTTGATGCATACAAAATCTGCATTTATACTTTTAGAAATTAAAATTAATTTTTTAATTAAATATAAATCGAAAGAATCAAGGGAGTTTTAGTTCAGCTAAGCACCTGTGTGACCTGCGAGCTAGTCTGTACTCTCCTCTTTTTCTTCTAATAGCCCCTTCTTCCCTGGTGTGTGTTAAACCAGAAGCTAACGGCAGTATATGGCTGCCAGGACGCCATTCCTGGAAAGTTAGCACATTCCACTTTGGGCGGTGTTTTAAGATAAATACACACTCAGCAGCTGCAGTGGGGTCAATAATGTTTCAGACTGCCAGAATCTGGGCGACTTCACTTCATCTCGTGTTCTGTGTGACCATGAACGAACGCTCCACCATGCTGGAGAATTGAAGAATTTGTTCCACGTTCACCGCGGGCTTGAAACCGAGCCTGACAATGATGGAAAAATAAATCCAACAACATGGATAACATACATCTGGTATAAGCTGATTTTCCTACCACAGACCTTCACACAGTAGAGTAGAAGCAAGTAAAAATGTGTGAACTGACATAACCACCAGTGTGTCAAAACGCTGTTTTCTTATGGTGTCATAAGTTTCATTTCATGAGCCAATAAAATGAATACAGGCCAACTTCCAGTGCCTTTTGAGATTTCTAGAGTTTAGGAATGATACAGAGAGCATGTTAAGAAGGTGGTTCAATAGGACAGTGGTACTCAGTTGCACTGTCAACAATACCACCCAGTTTGTCAGTTCAAATGTCTGGCAAAGTTGTAGTTCTCGATATACATTTCTTACGTTTTTACTGCTGTTTTATGCAAGAAGTAAACATGCCCGAGCCCTCAAAGGACCATATCGAACTACTGATGGTAAGGGTCTGATTACCTAACTTTGAGAACCAAGAGCATGTTACCACCATAACATCCTAACGTTCATGCTCTTGGCATTCCATGTTATGATAATAGAAGATGAAAATAATTCTTTCATATGTGTGCCTCACACAGACTTCATTCTGATTCAGTGCTTTAGTAGATTGACAGACACTCAATTCTGTTCTTCAGAATGTCTAATGCTCTCTAGTCTGAGGCATAAGAAATGTCTTACGGCAAATAGACTAACAACTGGGCACGTGTCTTTTCAGGTGTTGAAGTTCCTGCTTGGCAGACAAGCGTGCTTGCCTAAATAATATGAGCTGCCACGTGGTTCAATATGTTCCCCTTAACCTCCTGCTTAACGTCTTAGAATATATAGACCTTCTGTGTCCCATATTGTTCAAATAGTCTAACTATCAAAGACATGGTTCTGGTTTCTGTTAGCTCTATAACTTCAGGGTGTCCCAGAGAGTGTTCTTATGATGTTTTTTTATTCTCAAAACATATACCTTGAATTACCCAGTAAGTCCACATAGTGCTGCATAGCAATGTACATTCATTCACATACACGGTTAAGATTTATTTTAACAATTAGAAATGTTTTCAGAACTCCAAGATCACATTATTTTTCCTTAGTACACATGTCAGTACTATGTATATTGCATGATTTTTAAAAAACTTTTTTATTTTTTAAAGATATATTAAGACATTCAATGCAGCACGAGGGATCTGCTCGGTACAATACACACATCTTACAACGGTAACATTAATATGCAATACTGAAGATATAATCATAGATTATTCTCCTTATTTGATTTTTATTTTAAACTTCTATCATCACAATATATAAAAAAAAAAAAAACTAAGCAAAAAGTAAAAAATAGAGACAAAAAAAATGGAGTTGAAATGCTAAATAATGGGTTGAGTAAAAAAGACAATCTTAAAACCATTTAGAAAGTAAAAAAAAGAAGGGGGAGATTAAAAAGGCAGTAGAATAAGGTGACTCAAACACTCATAGTTTGGTAGGATGTTCATAGGGTGGCAGAGTCAGCACACCAGATCAGACACCCAGAAGTCCTTAAATCAGACATGCGCAGTACACAATCCATGGATGCCAAGTCATATTATCAGCACCAAGAGTCCCTCTGAGACTTGTAGTCATCTCCTTCATATTGTAAACAAGTCTAATTTTGTCCATTAACTGTAATGTAAACACTGCATTTTCGCTGAAAAGACCGTGTTTACTGCAAAAAGCCCAAAGGGAATGATTCTACTCACCAGAACAAATACAATAAGCTGTAGTTGTTCTGGTGACTATAGTGTCCCTTTAATGATTTGTGGTTTTAGCTTTCATTTACTGTATTGTACAGTGTCACACAGTATATATTGCATAGGACATGCATGTTAACGATATCTACTTTAAAGGGACACTATAGTCACATGAACAACTTTAGCTTAATGAAGCAGTTTTGGTGTGTAGAACATGCCCCTGCAGCCTCACTGCTCAATCCTCTGCCATTTGTTTATGAACCCTAGTCACACCTCCCTGCATGTGACTTGCACAGCCTTCCATAAACACTTCCTGTAAAGAGAGCCCTATTTAGGCTTTCTTTATTGCAAGTTCTGTTTAATTAAGATTTTCTTATCCCCTGCTATGTTAATAGCTTGCTAGACCCTGCAAGAGCCTCCTGTATGTGATTAAAGTTCAATTTAGAGATTGAGATACAATTATTTAAGGTAAATTACATCTGTTTGAAAGTGAAACCAGTTGTTTTTTCATGCAGGCTCTGTCAATCATAGCCAGGGGAGGTGTGGCTAGGGCTGCATAAACAGAAACAAAGTGATTTAACTCCTAAATGACAGTGAATTGAGCAATGAAAGTGCAGGGGAATGATCTATGCACTAAAACTGCTTTATTTAGCTAAAGAAATTTAGGTGACTATAGTGTTCCTTTAAACCCTTTCCCAAAAAATGTTCTTTACAGATCCGGTAATATCATGATGGTTCTGACACATCATCTCTTATAAAGGGGTTAAGTTTCAATCCAGACTTTACAGACGCAAACTAGCAGCTCAATATCTACTAACGTGTCATTTAATCCCGACTAGGTATAAAATGTAGACTCCCGGCATTTGTAAGCAATAATTAGCACAGTACACAGATAATGTATCTGTGCTAGAATATATATTACAGAAATATTGGAATAAGCAAGACCACACTGTGGCAAATCTCAGGAGCCGTGGCTCAGAAAATAGTGGCTTACGCAGTGCCAATCTCCAGGCATCCAGAGATTTGTGGTGATCCCACTACAGTCTATTGTATTTGTATCCCACTAGACTAAACACCCAACGTTTCCTTTGTGTGCTAGTGGCTAATTGTGTATCTGTAATCTACTCAATGTTTGATCTGTCTCCTGCCTGCCGGCCATGTTTTCAACCCAACGTAACTTAATGTTGTGTTAATATGTAATTAGAGCTGATTGGCTCTAAATTATGGCCTGCGATAATCGTGGTGATGACCGATAATGAAAGTGTTCTTTATTTAATGTAGCTTAAGTAAAAGGTTGGAGTTGCTGACAAAATAAGTTCCTCACCGCGCTGTGTCTGGCTGCGAGATTTTACCCCTCTCCGTCTGCTTGACAGACATATTATCAATAAGAGGTAGCTCAGTTGCTCTGATTGTACCCTGAATGGATGATGTATTTTTTGAAATTTACTCTCTTTGACTGAAGTGATAGGATTCCAGAAAAACCTTCTCTTGCCAAAATATTTTTAATTTCTAGATCCCATTTTTGCATCATCATTGCCAAATTTTGTGTTTTCCAAATCTGTCCTAAGGATCCAACAGTCATAAACTAATAAAAAGGTCTAGTTTAGGACAAGTGAATAAATCAGGGGTTCAGTCCTTTGCACAAACCTCTGAACTTCTAGAGATGATCATGTCAGTAGGTTGGCATATCGGTCACCATCACATATGTCAAATTCCATGTGCAGGGTTTTCAAGGTGTATTCTGGTTTTCTAGATCTATACGCGCTCTGTTATCGATCCGCTGCCCCCTCCGACTGACAACGATGTGGCAAACACTCCTTCCTCTGAAACTAAGGAAAACAGCGTGGAACCCATGCAGGCAGCAGCCAAAACCACAGAGAAGTTAAAGAAGAAGCCCAAGATGTCCGATGAGGAGATTCTGGAGAAATTACGTAGGTGTCCTTTATTTCTAGAATTTTGGGCAATTTCGTACAATGCCTCCCTCTTTTTGGCACCTCACGGGGGGATGTTCTAATGTGAGATCTTGCCGGTACCTCGACATTGCATGGAATGTTGTCTATGTGGTACTTTTATAAATCTAACTATATGAAGATTAAGTTGAAAAGGGTTCTAGTTACATTCATGTGCCGGAGTCAATCTCAGAACTGGTACTTCAATGTCTCCTTTGAAAAAACTTTGCTCATACAGATATTGAATATTGAAATATTAAGGGCGCCTTGAACTGAAAAGGTTTGGGAACCACTGGTTTAGACAATGCATTAAATGTGTAGAGTTAAAATGAAAATATATTTTAAAAAAATCTCTTCTTTGAAAATTGTTCATTTGCTGCATATTCCCAGGATTTGTATCTGCTACAGTGAGCTGTTCCCAGACCAGGAAGCAGTTGAAAAACAATTTTTTTTTTATAATAGTGCACCATGTCAAGTAGGGATAATACATTCTATAAGACCATTAGTGGAATTTTCTGTATCCACTCAACAGGACTTTTTTGAAGCCAAGATTTGGGGTTTTCATTGGTTATGTCCTAATGCCTCTTCCCTTGTGTGCGTTTTGTGGGGTATTTTGGAACCCCATTGTATACTTTCTGGTTCCTAAATCCACATTTTGCTTTTTCACAGGGAGTATTGTAAGCATAGGAGACCCCAAGAAGAAGTACACACGGTTCGAGAAGATTGGCCAGGGGTAAGTCATGCAGAAACAATATGAATCATCCATTTAACCCTTTGAGCCTAAGACCCTGAAGAAACTTATTAACAAAAGTGGTGTGTGATGAAAATCCACACAGTATGTAGAATTATCCATCAATCCGCATTTATACTTTAAATCTAAAATTATTTGAAATATGTAAAAATTAAATATTTATTTTTTACAGATGTGTGCAGGCCGTGTAAAGACGTTTTAAAAAAATATTTTAAAATAAATACTTTGTTTGTGGTCAGCTCACCACGTTAGAGGCTCGAATCCTGGAGATTGGTTTAGCATTGTTGTTGAATAGGATGAAGGCATTCCTGATTAAAAAGACTTTGCTTAGTTTGGGAGGTTAACGTGATAGGTGATACCAGCAACATCTGTTCAGCAATTCTGAGCAAAGAGACCGCCAGATCATGTTTCCTAAAACAGTCTACTTTTGATTGTGCCCACACTAATAATCAGTGAAATTAAGATCTCCTATTACTGCCTGTCATTACCTGTTTGTCTGCTTCGATAGACATCCGAGTTGCAGATGTGTCATTATTGAAAATGTACGCTTTATTATTTGGCTAAATAGTTTTAAACCTTTGTGCTCTCTCTCGAACAATTAATATTTGAGTATATGGACTAACCTAGTACAGCACCAGTTAACAAAGAAACTGGAAAGATTCTAGCCTTGAAGTGCATGCCGCTTAAAGGGGCACCCTAAGCACCATAACCAGTACAGCTCATGCTGCTTAAAGTATTCTTTTATTTTAAGAAATAGGGTTGAACACTGCACCCAAAAATATATCGGTTAGATTGAGAACTTTTAGAAGAAATGTACAATAATATTAATGACAAAATAGCTTTTGGGGTTTGCTAGGGCTGCAGAAACAAAGTGATTTAACCCCTTGAGGACTGATGACGGTTCAGGAGCGTCATCAGAAACATCCTTTTGAGGACTGATGACAGTCCTGACCCGTCATCAGTCCTCAAGGGGTTAAATCACTTTCTGAACCGTCATAACGTTAATTATTACTTGCCCGATCGCCGCCGTTCCCCCGCCGATGAGCGGTCACATGGCCGCAATAGGCGTCCAGGCAGTCTCCCTGCATCTGTTAAATAATAAAAAAAATAATGTTAATAAATAAAAAATTAATATATGTGTGTGTATATATATATATATATATTTTTTTTTTTCTTTTTTTTGTCATTCTAAGTGTATTTTTATATTAATATATACATATATTTCATATATTAATATAAACTACTTATAATTAAATACACACACATATATATATAATAGCTATATATATTGTATATACATATTATAAAAAATAAATAATAATGAAAAATAAATAAAAAAATGTAAAAATAATAATAATAAAAATATTTGTGTTTCAAAACAGTAAAACATATCACAGCAAAGATATTGTCAGTGAAAGTGAAGTTTTGTGCATTTTTTACACACAAACTGCACTTTCACAGATGATATACTTGTGATAAGTTTTACTGTTTTGAAACACTAAGATTGGTGTTCAGCAAAGTCCCCCGAGTATAATAGTACCCTGGGGTACTAGGGTACAGGTTTTATAGTGTTTTTGAAACAGGTTTTATAGTGTTTTTGAAAGTTACAGGGTCAAATATAAGGCTTGATTTTCCGTTTTTTCACATTGAAATTTGCCAGATTGGTTATGTTGCCTTTGAGAGCGTATAGCAGCCCAGGAATGAGAATTACCCCTATGATGGCATACCATTTGCAAAAGAAGACAAGCCCAAGGTATTGCAAATGGGGTATGTCCAGTCTTTTTTAGTAGCCACTTAGTCACAAACACTTTCTAAAGTTAGCGTTCATAATAGTTTTTTGCATTTTTAACACACAAACAAATATAAATGCAAACTGGCCAGTATTTGTGACTAAGTGGCTTCTAAAAAAGACTGGACATACCCCATATTGAATACCCTGGGTTGTCTACTTTAAAAAAATATGTACAGGTGGGGTGTGATTCAGAGATTTACGGCAGTGTTTCAATGTCACTATTGATAAATTTTAAAAATATATATTTTGAAACAGCCCTATAACTTGCAAAAAACAAGCAAAAACTCTAAGAGAATAAAACGGCAAACACCTCATTGTTTTACTAATGTATCCTAAGAGAATAACATTGGTACAATAATCAATTCAATCAATATACAAAGTTACAATAATAAGTGAGTTAACTGCAAAACAAACCTAAATCTTGATTTACAATTTAGTTTGGCAATTGTTCTCAACCAATAGTAAGAGACGGTTAATAGTAAAGACTGCTATCTATAGTTTTGTCTTGATCATACTGCCCGGTAAAAGTTGTGATTATGGAATGCATCGTCGGCGTATTGTTTGTGTTTGTTGTTGTTGTTTTTTTTTTTGTCTGCTGAAGGACAGATGGCTTTGAACCTTGTTTTGACCATTTGTAAATTTGTGTAAAATCCCCCACTTACAGGAATGCATGCCGAAAGCAAAACTGTAACAGTTTCGCTGGGTTTGATAACGTCATTGTTGACCTGGTTTTGGGCCAAAGAACATGTAGCATTTTCTTAGAGCCGGGGAATGCCCCATCTTGATTAGCTGCATGAATGTTCTCTTTGTCTCCTGTCTGTGAAGGTTCAGCTCGGCCCAGCCTGGCCAGACTTTAGAGAAACTCTATTAATGGATGACAGGTTATATGCCCCTCCCCGTAAATAGGTCGTAGGACCCAACTTGAGTACAACAAGTCAAGCACAAGTTTTTAATTTTGCTTGTCCTTAATCTTACATGCCAATCATTCTGACCGACTACTTGTGGCAAATATTCTCAACGTATTACTATTTTTTACAGCAATAAGCAGGTCCCCTTCAAAATGTCACGTTCTTGATCATAATGTACTGTACTAAATATCAAGTCTCTGCCTTGGCAGCTTATAAAAAGCCTATCCACAGGTTTATTAACTAGTTTAGACTGATAGTTAAGGGAAAAGGGAAACTGCTCCTCTTTAATTCCTGGCGATGACATCACTGCTGTACTCTCACGCAGTGGTGGTGGCTGTCGGGATTGACTCTTAGACTTCACCTCGAGTCTTAGAAATTCAGGCAGAGGATAAATACCGTGATAAAGTAGTCCCTACTTTTTCTCTATATCTCGCTTGACTGGGTTGGAATTTCAGTGAAATAAAAATTATTCTAAGTTTATGAAACACTCACTATCGGGGGTGGGGGAGCACTTTAATTAGCTTTTGGTAAATGTATACAGTTTATAATATTATCATTGTCTAACCAACCGAATCCTGTCTCTTTCTATCAAACATCAGAGCATCGGGTACAGTTTACATTGCGGTCGATGTAGCAACGGGACAAGAGGTAAATGCTTTAAGCATGTTTCTTCTTTGAGAATTCTGCATCTTTTAGTATTATAACATTTTCTGCTTACATCTACATAACATGACCACGCACCTTTAAATGCTATCACCCTAAACTGTCTTCTGCAGGCTGAGCATCATGGTAATTGTCGTCTCACTGTCTTAGTAACACTAACTTTCAGCTGCAGTCTGTTTTTGTAAAACACGTTTGTGTTGAGTAATGCCATAGTCTGTTTCTGAACACACGTCGTTGGATCTGCATTTACACTGTTACTCTGACTTCCATTGTCTCAGTTCTGCCTTCTAATTCTGTCTACTTACAGGTGGCAATTAAGCAGATGAATCTACAGCAGCAGCCAAAGAAAGAGCTAATTATTAACGAGATCCTTGTAATGAGGGAAAACAAGAATCCAAATATTGTAAATTATTTAGACAGGTAAGTCACATGACTACAAATCTATTAATACACTTAGTCATCTTTAAATGTATGGGTAATTCTAAAAGCAATCTGTCCTGCTCGCCACATGTCTTAAATTTCTGTCTGTTTCCTAATTTGCCTTGCACACTCTCATACCTATACGCATACAAAGTTTGACATTGCGTACATTTACTGCACACACATTCAGCAATGCTTGCATGCATGCACACATCTGATTTGGGGTACACACATTCAACATTGGATACATATACCCACGCACACATTTAACATTATGTACATGCATTTTCGCACACACTCGATTTGGCAAACATTCATCCACACACACATTCGACATCTCATGTACATGCATCTGCACACACATTTGATATCGCATACATGCATCCACACACATTCATCTTTGCATACATACATTCGCATGCATATTGATATCATGTACATATACATGTGACATTGTATCCATGTATACACACATACATTAGACATTGCATACATGTATCTCCACACACGTTCCACATCACGTGCATGCACGCCCACACACATTCCGCCTCGCACACACGTGATATTATGTATATACATCAGCACACAGATTCAACATTGTGTACATACATCTGAACACACATGCACTGATTCAAACCCAAAGCTTTTGTAGGTCATAGGAAATGGTCACAGTCCTTTATATCGCACAGGCCTCTTTAGCTTCTTTTCAAGGATCCCTTGATATTCCTATGTAATAAATTGGTTTGGGATCAGATTTTTGTCCTCCGTATATCAGTGTGAATATCAGGCAGCCTGGAATTTTGTGAGCAGCTTGCCTGCCATGGGATATTCAAACATTTCCAGGATCCAAAAGATATTCCATAACAAGACACGTGTATTTAAACTAGACCACGTCTGAGTGTAGAAATCAGCCACGAGGAGTTCCATGAGTCATCATGTCACTAAGGAAGAAACTTTCTAGCCATCCACTCACATAGAGCCCTGCCACGTAGTAGCGCTTGTTTCCAGCTGTCCTTCTGCGAGTGTCCCTCTCATGTCTCTGTAGATTTTATTGACCAATTGTTGCTCTTAGTGACTGTGACAATATGGCGTCTCTGCTACAGAAGGTTATCGTCCGTGGATATCGTATGTTAACCTGCACAGCTAATTGCTATGCTAAGCACTAAGACCCGGTACTTTGAATCCTGTATCCACCGGCAATACAGGATATACAGCACTGATAGTTCTGGTTCATATAGGATATTCTATCTATCTAGTCCACTGGCAATTCGCTATGAGGAGCTAATCTACAGTGGATGATAAACCGCAATATACCAGGATGCTTCAAGAGACACACAAACTCCTTGTTGGCAAATCACAAACACACTTTATTCTGGTTCATAGACACAATATATAGCAGTTCTCTAAATAACACATAAACAACAGTGACCAATCAGGGATATGAGAGGCCCAGGGGAAAATTAAATCAATTATAACAAAGTAAATATCAGATAATAGAGTCTACATTAAAAGAGGCTATTCAATTACAGATACACCAGACAACAGGTAATTTTATTAAAAATATCAAACTCTAATTAACAGAAGGTACAGGTAAATCCAGACAAAAGGGTAAAAATGAATCCAATTAACAGACCTCACTCTGTCTCCCTAATTGTGTACGGAGGATGTGCCATTTTGCCTGACTCATTTACTGTGACACTGTAATCCTACAGAGTCTGCTTTACCGCTAGAATTATGCTTTGTACATAAAGCAATAAGGAGACATGGTTATCGTACCTGGCACCTTTGGCAAAACAAGGGACAACATAGTCCTGGCATGATGACAGATCAATAACAAAAACATTGTTCTGTTACAGTCCTGATCGTCACAGTGACTACAGCTGCTGATTAATGGACTTATGTTTCTGATACTCAAATAAAATATACTTTGCAGGTTAGTAAAAAGACTTTAAGACCTGTGGTAGATTTGAAATATTTTATTATTTTTGTTTTATATAGCACCACACATTCCGCAGGGCTTTAAAAGTCGAGAAAGGGGTGAGAGAGGCCTGGCTAATGAGCTTATAATGTATATAATGTTTCAGCAAGTTTGGAAATGCCGTGTAGTATAAGAGGGTTACAGACATACAAGATGACACATAGGAAACATTGTTTGTGTATAGATGTATTCTGCTACAGAAAGATTGAGCCTGCTGCTCCTCTGAGAGGTTCTTCTAGCAGGAATTTGCGAGTGATAGAGGCAGTTGCTGAGAATACCAGTCTATCTGTTGCCGTGCCTCATGCTATATGTAGTATGATGTCCTGTCCCTCTGCTTTCTTCCAGTTATCTGGTCGGGGATGAGCTCTGGGTGGTGATGGAGTATCTGGCCGGTGGATCTCTCACAGATGTGGTTACGGAGACTTGCATGGATGAAGGACAGATAGCAGCCGTGTGCAGAGAGGTACGAGAGAGCCATCACGTTGATTGATTGGAGATTGTTTATAATCTTGTCAATATTTTTTAATAAAATATCTAAAAAACAATTACATACATATATTTATATATACACAAATGACATCCACGTTAAAAAAAGTTATACTACTACTACCTTCCAATCTGATATATTTCAGAAACCATATAGAAATCTTTTAAAGTAATCAGAAAAAATACAAATCTTTTATACTAGTTATATAATGGACTGGTTCAATATAAACTGTCTCTTGCACTTTAATGTTATCTTAAAGGAGAACCATCACTGCCGAGGAATGTTTAGCAAATGTGTGTTTGCAGGCTCTGAAAGATAAAATTAAATGTAGAATACCTAACCACTATACTTAGCTCTGTCCTGGAGTCAGTGCCTCCTCCTAGTGGAATTAATAAGTAATTGTGACCACTGTGCCAGTTCTGTAACAGTGCTCAAAATTTGCCATTGACGTGTGATTTGACATCTACTTGCCATTGACGTGTGAAAATGTAGCCCCAGTGACTATAAATTCACCTCTCAATAGTGTGTCAGACACGACGCTTGCAGTGGCCAGTAACTGTTAAGGCTTGGCTAATAGTGTGGAATTTGAAATGTTAATAGTGTCAATGTTTCACTCCAGTAAAAGTGCTCACACGTGTGCATGTGCTCTGAGCACAAGAGCTGAGTGGAGTTGAAAAGTGTGTTCGATGACACGAGTGTGGCTGGATAGTGCGGTTAGCAGATTATTTTATTCCTCCGAGTCCTATAGGGATCACTAGATGAATGACGTAGATAAGCACAAAGCTGTTTTTTTTTTTTTAAATAAAGCTAACAATTATTGAAAGGTTCCTCTCTTTTATTTACACTACAAATCACGGTGGCCTCGTGGGAAAGAGATGTCATATCTATTCTATGACCGGCATCTCAAACTATGGCCTCCTATATGATGCCAAACCACAACTCCCATGATTCCCTGGCCATCTCTTGGATTGAAAGAATTCTGGGAGTTTTAGTCCATTATCATCTGGTGGTCCAGAGTTTGAGATTGCAGCTCTACACAAATATGATGTCACAACATTCTACCAGTTGGATCAGCAGAACTCTAGACCACCTTAGTTTTTCCCACCTATTCAACTGTTTCTCCTAACATTACATCATTTAGCAATTAGCAAATATGTCTAGATGTTTCTTCTACCTACAAAGAGCATTTAAGGACATCAGATTTGATTAAAGACTGTGCGTTTGGAAGGTTAATGATCAATTCCGCCTTAATTAATTTATCTACATTGCAGTTAGCTTCCTTGTTCTCTCCCAGTGATAGAAATAAATGTCTGCTGAGATGACATGTTTACCATCTCTTTCAGTGTCTGCAAGCATTGGAATTTCTGCACTCGAATCAAGTCATTCATCGAGATATTAAAAGTGACAACATCCTACTGGGCATGGATGGGTCTGTGAAGCTGAGTACGTTAAACACAGCATATTCTCATCCAAAGTGTGCAACACGTTAACCAGCACTCCAAGGGTTGTACCATAGCATCCACTGTTTCCACTGTAGGGAAAGACAAACTCCTACTTTAATTGTTTCAGAGGAAAGATTTTTTGTTCCTTATGCTACTTGGGGATCTAATTTTGAAGACAAACTTGCCATTTTGCAGAGTAGACAACCTTACAACAGTTAAAAAACATAGATATTCCTGTAGGTATTAATCAAATGGGTAATAATCTAAGGCAATTAAAGGAAAGCTCCCAGGTTTATTGAAAATGTCTAATTATTTTTAAAAGGCAAAAGTCACATTTTTAATTTGCTTTAAATTTTAATAACACCAATAAAAAATGAAAGTAACCCGTGCTCTGTATAAAAGTGAGCAATGTGACAAAGTGTGCCTCTTATATTTTAGTGTGTATGAAAAGGGATTATCGGGATGATTATAATGACACTTTAAAACCTCACATATATTTTGTATGAGCGGCTATGTACTATCGACCAATGGCAACTAAAAGCACAAAATATTAAGGGAAATAAGTCAGGAAACTATCATTTTGGAACGTATTATTGTTATTATACAGAAAAATGTCTATTAAGACAGTTGCAACATTTAGGGAACAATAGCTAAATTTAAAAAAAATCTCAGCTTCAAGGAGAGTTCCTGCCGGGCTATTTTTTAGCCCACATGTTCCAGTTGGGATTACATTTTACGACAATTCAAAGTTCAGTAAATAAGCCTCAAAATTTGTAGATGCCTGGAATAGTCTTCCAACAAAGGTTGACGAGATCAATAAATTGAAAAACTCATAGAAACCTGTTTGGGGGGGCTTAATAAAAAGCCATCATGAAGCATGTTACTCTCCTGAAATGTGAACATGCTGGTAAGGCTGCAGAGACACTTTTAAAGGGAAGAGTTAGGACATTGTGGTACATTGTGCTTTTTAAATAGCTGGTGCATGTAAAATGTTCACATTCTTTTCAATGCAAACAACTTGTATTTCAAGGGTTTTTATTCCTTTATAGCGGACTTTGGTTTTTGCGCCCAAATTACGCCTGAGCAAAGCAAACGAAGCACAATGGTGGGGACTCCATATTGGATGGCACCAGAAGTGGTTACTCGAAAAGCTTATGGTCCTAAAGTGGACATCTGGTCTCTGGGAATCATGGCCATCGAAATGATTGAGGGAGAGCCTCCTTACTTGAATGAAAATCCTCTGAGGGTGAGTGCTACATTGTAACATCCAGGATGGAAGGGGGATTATGGTATTTGAACGATTTCTGGGTAATGAGGACACATTTGATGGACATTGTATCAGAGTGAAATTATATCAGACCTTCTCCCAGGTGATCCTTAAGTCCTGGCAACTATGAGTATGGATGGATTTTTTAGTCTGTTCAATATGTTTCCCTATACTAAGTAAATGATTTGTTGGTACAGCTTAATTTTCTATAACAGGATGGTTAGATCCCCAGATGAGGCAGAACTACACCTTTAATGGTGTTTTTCTATGATTTAGAACTGGCAGAGCTGTAGTTCTACCACCGATGGAGATCTGCCTTTGGCTGTATTTTGTTTATACAGTATTATACTAACCTTTCTGAAACGCTTGCTAGTTTTCAAGGTTTGTATGCACATCCTACACACAGTGCTTAAACCTGTGTTAATCGGGAACAAAGGATAGTAGCATATTACCAGACTATTACTTAACAAAATGCCTTTAGCAGGCAAAATATCAAATATAAAGTCAAGGAAAACTAGCTGAAGCCAAAGATTCCAGAAAACACAGTATCGATAAGCCGAGTCTGGTCAAGGAGTACAGAGATCAGGGTAGTTAGACAAGCCGAGACAGATATCACAAGGAAGCTACAGCAAGAATGTATAGGCCTGTTGGTGTTTCTTTGATAAGACAAAATTGTCTGAGGATTGTGGAGTGTTGCTCACTTGGGGAGGCAAGGGGACTAGGTAAGTGGCATAGTAAAAGGTATGTATCTTTACAGCTAGCTAGTTATCGGGCTATTTGCGTACAGCAGGATTTCTCTGTAGAGGTCTATAGGCGGTCTAACTCCAGTTAACCAAGTCTGTTCCTTATCAGATCCAGTCAGTGTGTGGTTTAAAGAAAAGGAATGCGGAAAAGGCACAAAAACGCTTTCTTGGCAGAATAAAAAATATAAAAATCGGTTAGTTTTTGCAAGGAACATGTTGTAAAAACCGACCGATATATTAATGTGCAAGCTGTTCTCCTACAGAATTAATGGATTTTATTCTTTGTCGCTCTGTCCTATCAGGCACTCTATCTCATAGCTACAAACGGGACGCCAGAGCTGCAAAAACCGGAGAAATTATCAGTCACTTTCAGAGACTTTCTCACCCGCTGCCTTGAGATGGATGTAGAAAAGAGAGGCTCAGCCAAAGACCTTCTCCAGGTGAGCTTACGTAGGCGAGTAGACCTCCTCCAAGTAATTAACATGTGAGGGATTCCTCCCAGTCATCGTCATCTATGTTGCATTAGTTAGGGCATTTCCACCAGTAATTTGACTTTAGCGCCAGCTCCCATATGGGAAATATAAACAAATTCCAAAGTAATAAAAATCTTAATCAGCGCATGCAAAAAATGGCAAGGTGCAAGCAGATTGGATACTATATATATTTCTCTGAACAACCATCCACAAGACACAAAACACCATGGTGGTCTCAGTTTGGAATGCCCCCCTGTTTGTAACTTGTCATTTTGTGCAGACTTTGAAATAACGGTATTTTTGTTTAACTTTTGGATTACTGCTCCGGCAACTTCACAGTTAATTGTTTGCTCAGTACGAGACCCTGGCACAGAACACCCGAACCTTTTGCTTACTGACAGACCCCTGGGAAATCCTGTATTGGGGGGCTTTCATGTGAAATGATAATTACTATCTCATTACTTGCAACACAAAGTAGTTTTTCTTTTACGGATTATTCCTTTATAAAACCAAGATGATCTTTTCAGTCCGCCAAAAACTCACATACACTCACTCTTATTCTTATGTTAAGATGGGTCTATGCTGCTTTAAATTCTATAAATCAAACCAGAACTTTAACCCCTTAAGGACACATGATATGTGTGACATGTCATGATTCCCTTTTATTCCAGATGTTTGGTCCTTAAGGGGTTAAAGAAGTTACCAGGGTTACATTTGGACGTTGGTTATTTGGGGGGCTGAGATTTACAGAGCTGTTAATGATCTAGCACATATTGTGTTATTAGGTAGCTAATCCAACTGAATTCTGAGAAACCTTTATAGGGGATAACGCCTTGAGATAAAGATTACATAAAAAGAGGAAAGATTGTTTCTCAGAGAAAGTGTGTGCAGGGTTAAAACATAACTTTTATTAATATATTAAAAAGGAACTACAAGTGGCTAATAGTGGATAAAAACTTCAAGTTACGTCTATTTAACGTAGGAAATATCGCTAACAGCTTTTTGACAAAACTATAAGGGCTCTAAAATTCTGTCTTTAGAAAGAAAGGTGTGTAAATGAAACATTGTTGCAACCACCTAGGATACAGTTGCAACAATGATTGTAGTCAAAAGAAACAAAGATATCACACACACACACACAAACAAACGCACAATCTCTCCCTCCGTGCACATCAAACGACTTGGAGGAACACTATAGGGTCAGGAACAAAAACGTGTATTGCTGACCCTATAATGTTAAAAAACAAGTTACCTTATTTCCAGCGCCACGCGCATGCGCCGATAATGGTTGATTTAGTATATGGAAGCATTGGATTGACTGAGCCTGCCAAGGAGGTGGGCCAGGGGAGGGGGCAGAGCCAAACCTCATAGAGATGCATTGAATCCCTGTATACACTTTCTCTAAAAAAACACTCTTCCCTCTTTTTTATGGAACCTTTGATAAATACCCATATTTGTTGATCCAGAAAAATAGCAAAAATAAAGTAGAATTTTTGTGGCTTAAATCCGTTTTCTAGGGTTAAAGTTGCAGTGGAGGTATTATCTGATTTGATGAATTATTATCTCCATGTGTTATGTCCTGTGTTTTAAATGCTTTACTTTGGGAATCTGTCCAAATTGTCACGCCAAGTACCACGCTTACATCTTCTTTGGAGCTGTTCTGTTCCTGCCCAGACGGAACCGTGCCCACTGTGATTGGCACTGCATTCATTGTGAACAGACGCCTTGAATTCATTGTCTAAAAATAGACTATTCGCCTTGTTTTAGGTGACGTCAGATGAAAGAGCACATTGTTTGACACGTTACTGTGTCCTGTGTGATAATTAACCCTGGGTTGGATGAGTAGGCCGATATGCTTGGTGTGATCGTTCCTGAACAACTAACTAAAAACTAACTCTAATAAAATCTGCATTTCACTGTTGAAAAGGAAAATGCTACATTTTTACAAATTGTTATGCATGAATTCAATTTCTGCTTTTTTTTCTTCTTCTTTTTTCCACAACTCATTAGGTGGCCTTTATATAGTAGTGCCCCTCTTTTTTTCTCCACTACCTCTTCCACCCATGTCATTACCCCGACACACCTCTCTGTAAAGATATTCTAGATGGGAAAGATGTAAATTTGGTGTCTCTATTAATCGCCTCCCAAGATGTAGTGGAAATTTAGAACATATAATTATGGTGACTTACCGGTGGTGATGAAGGCTAGAGATCCACGTCTTAATAAAAAAAACTTACCATCCCCGAATTAGTCCTAGCCTTTGGCCCACTGTATTTCTGGGCAAGGCACAAATCTGCTACAATTTGAATGCAGGGGCATGTAGTTTCAGCGCCAGCAGGTTGTTGCATGTTTGTTCGATCTGCTGTAGGGCACATGCCAGATCCATGTGCCCTTCAAAACTAAACCCAAGACCATGACTAACCAAAGTCATTATTAACAACCTGGCACACTACTCGCAAACGCACCCTTCTTCTCACATGGTGGAATTCATAATTCACAGGTTTTCACAGGGATTCCACACCGGGATTGTGGCACTCACCACAGGTACACTAGAATGCCCCAACCTGCTTTCAGGTACTAACAACCCTCTCGCGGTAGACACCCTCATAGACAAAGAAGTTCACCAAGGTTTCATGCCAGACCTATTTTACTCCCCTCCTTTTTCAACGTGGCATACTAACCTCGTTGGCATCTCAATTAGGAAATACTTAAAATAAAAAAAACTTATGATAACTGACTTATCAGCTCCTCATTCATCAACCACCCCAAGTCTAAATTAACTTACTCCATCCTACGAATTTTCTCTACACTACGCCACTGTGGACAATGCCATACAGGTAATCTTAAAAGCCTCCCTCCCAGACCCTCCCACCTCCTGGACAGCTCACTAAGAATGCAGCTTCAAAATGGATGCTGTCCAGGAGGTGGGAGGGTCTGGGAGGGAGGGTCTGCTGCTGATTGGCTGGAATGTGTCTGCAGACTGTGAGGTACAGGGTCAAAGTTTACTCAATGATTAGTCCGCTGCGAACCGTTCGGGACATCACTATCCACCAATACTGAAACAAGCTATAGCAGAGCTATGCCCATTTTCAATCGGTTCTCAGTGGAGTTTAACACTCACAATTTTTCAGTTTAAACCATGATAGCTTTTGCCGCATTTTGCCACCTTCACCTCAAACTATCATGCAGTACCATCAAACATTATTTTTTTAAGGACTGCGGCATTTCACACTGACCACTGTGCCAAATTACATCCCTTTCTCATCCTCATATCCGATAAAAAAACATTCTAAAAGGCATCAGTAAAGTAGATCATCCCACTACTCAGAGACGGTTACCTATTGACGGGGAAAACTCTGTACCCTATCAAATATTTTGGACACCCGACCATTCGATCCTTCGCAAATATTGTCATAAAAACAGCTATTTACATTGCCTGCTCTGGGTTTTTAAGACCTAGAGAGTTCACGGTGGTAGCTCAAACAGCAATTTATGTCTCACCATCAAAGACATAAAGAAAGTAAACGACTATTGTATTCTATTATTAAGACAAGGCCCTCAACCCCTCTGTTCCTGTGTGTCCAACTTGTCTGGTTACCCATTGTAAAGCGCTGCAGAAATCCCTTCTACCCTACCAAGAATAATTGGTGGCCTGTTAAAGTGCTGTAATCATATCTATACAACATTAGAAACAAACCACCCGAGACACCGCTACTCACACTACTAGGTGGTCCCCTCACCACTTCCAAATTCATGTTCTATGTCAGAGCTCTCTGCATCAGGTTAGGTCTTTATCCAGCCTCATACTCTGGCCACTCATTTAGAATCAGGGCTGCTTCTGCTGTATCTAGTACCTACACTCCCGTTCATATCATTAAAAGGTTAGTTGATTAGAAATCCCCTGTATGTAATAGGTATATTCCTCAACCCGAGAAAGAATTAAGGAAAGCGTTTAAGAATCTTGTATTGTAACATAAGCAATAAGTGCGGGTTACCTACTTTTTGCCCTCTTTTATTACAGGCCTACCCTTACGTCGGTATCGACACACCACTACTGACTTGTTCCATTTATAATGTTATTGCACTGCTTATATTTTATGGACCACAAATATATATGTACACACAGACACACTCTTTCTCTCTCTTTTAGGTGACTGTATATAAGGTAGGTAATGTGCTAGCCTCAAAGGGACACTATAGGCGCCCATACCACATCAGCTCACTGACGTGGTCTGGGTGCAGTGTCCCAGGTCCCTTAACCCTGCAAAGCTTATTATTGCAGTTTTGAAGAAATTACCTTTGAGAGTTAACTCCACCTCTAGTGGCTGTCTACCAGATAAACACTAAAGACACTTCCAGCCTGTTAGATGACTTTTGGTCGCCTAACTGACGCTCGGCGTTCTCACTCTATGCATGGGGACTTCCAGCGTCCTCCAAAACCCCATAGGAAAGCATTGTATAATACTTTCATATGGGGAAATCCTAAAGTGAGCACGGCCATTGCCGCACATGCGCATTAGGTCTCCCGCCAGCTGATGTCAGTGGGGGAGAAGCGAAGGCGGACCCGAGTTGGATTGAGGTAAGTAACACAGGGGAATGGCAAGGAAGGGGGGAGCTATAGTACCAGGAAAACGACTTTGTTTTCGTGGCACTATAGTTTCCCTTTAATTAAGCAACTTGCGGCAATGAACGGTGTTACTGTATAAAATAGATCTCTAATCCTAGACATTAATAATAATATATGACTGTTCTAGTGAACATCTCCCATTTAAGTGTTCCATCTTATCTTCCAGCACCCGTTTCTGAAGATCGCAAAGCCTCTATCAAGTCTCACGCCTCTTATAATTGCAGCAAAGGAAGCTGCGAAAAGCAACCACTAGATGGAGGTACCAGATTGTGTGGAAAGGACATTTTTTTTTTAAATAAGTGGCTATTTGATTCAGCCTTTTATTGCCACATCGTCTGGCCACCAGACACCTGGAATAAGAATCATCGTCGCTGACTGCGTTGATGTTAACTTTTTAAGGCCATACATTTCTTGCACCTGACATTTCAAGAGTCTCACTGTAGTAAATAACTACTTTGACGTGGCTGTGACTTTTTACCGTGGACTTTTTACAGAATCTATTCTGCACACTGTAGGCAAGCACAACAGTTTGTCTCTTTTAACTGTGGATTTTTTAAAATAATTTTGGAGCCCTGACTGTGTTGAGCTAAGTAAATGAAAACGGTTTGTTCCCCTGTCTTTCTGGTACTGTATTGTCTGACATGGTTTGCATTTTCCCAATCTGCGCTCTACAGAGATACTTAAAATTATCTGATGGGATTTGTTTTTTGAATTGTATATAAAAGTGTATGACTTGATCTGTTTAATGTAAAGTTTTTTTCTAGACACAATGTTGCACATTAAGCAGGGAAGTAAAAGTATGACCAATAGAGGGTGCTGCATGGATGGTTCTGGACTCTCTGAATCTCAGTTAATGATAAGAGCTTGATATAAGGTTGTTATTCAAGTTGTAGCCCAATGCCTACAGATGGACGACAAGCACATTCCAATGAATAGTATCCTTTATCCACTATTGTGTATTGTCCCAAATTAAACATTTTAGGCCACAGCTCACTCTTTATTAAAAATCCCTGATAGGATCCTTAAATTGTACAGGGCTATTTACTAAACGGAGAAATGTGTATAATTATTAAGACAATTGCAAATTGTAGGACAATAAAAGCTGAGCGGAAATATGTCAGAGTTCTAAAATTTGAATTTTTTCTAAAAATTTTTTATTTTAGCCGAACATTTTCAGATTGCCCTTTAATTCTCCACCAATCATAGTTAAGAAATTAAACCCCTGTTTAGTGCGTAAATGAATTAATGGACCGTTAGTCACCATGGCCACTTGATTTTTAATGAAGTGGTTTGGGTGCAGTGGTTCTTTAGGTTTAACCCAGGGATATAAAACATTGCATTGTTTAGAAACTGACATTGTTTACATTACAGTGTTCAGTCCACCTCTAAGGGCTGTCATGCCGAAAAGCACTAGAGGCGCTTTTTCTGCACTAACTGATTCAATGCTTTCCTATCGGTTAACTTGGATGTGTGTGTGATAGGTCCAACATGCTTTTCTATGAGGACCATTGGATTAGAACATGCCAGAGGAGGCAATGTCTGCAGGAGGAGAGGTAAGGAATGTGAAGTAAGCCTCAGCGCTGGAAAAAGTTAAGCAAAAAGTTCAGTTTATTCATTTTTACTGCAAACAGGGAGGGGACCTATATGTAGCTAGGGGCAGGGGCATTCATCTGCTAGGAACACAGTTTTGTATTTCTAATGCTACAATGTTTTTTTAAAGCGACACAATAATCACCAAAACAACTTTAGCTTAATGAAACCGTTTTGATGTATAGGTCATGCCCCTGCAGCCTCACTGCTCAATTCTGCGCCATTTAGGAAATAGAGCACTTTATTTATGCAGCCCTAGTCACACCTCACTGCATGTGACTTCTACAGCCTCCCTAAACACTTCCTGTAAAGAAAGATCTCATGTTTATACTTCCTTTGTTGCAAATTCTGTTTAATTTCGAATACCTTATCTCCTGCTGTGTTAATAGCTTGCTAGACCTTGCAGACACGTAGACTGCTATGTGTGATCAAAGTTCAATTTACAGAACAGGAGATAAAAACTTTCAAAGTAAGTTACATCTGAAAATGAAATCATTTTTTGTTTTCATGCAGGCTGTGTCAGTCACTGTCAGAGGAGGTGTGTCTCAGGCTTAATAAACATAAACAAAAATGATTTAACTCATAAATGGCAAAGAATTGAACAGTGAGACTTCAGGGGCATGATCTATATACCAAAATTTGTTTTGGTTCCTATAGTGTTACTTTAAGTATTACTGGTCCTAAAGAGGTCAAATAATACTCAGGAATTCTAAAGATTGTTAAATGAAATTACTGTAATTCAAGTAATAATTGTGTCGGTCCATACGTTACTTTGTTTTAAAACATTGATTTGTGCTTATTTCAGCACAAGCACTCCTTGAATACTATTTATTCCCGAAAAAAAAGATAAAATAACACCAGGTTTATTTACTAAACACTGAATTGGTGTGAATTAAAACACAAATTGCTCAAGTCAGGTTAAAGTAGTCAAGCTGTAGCTATAGCTTAATGGAGATTGTTCACAAATGTGCTATTTTGGTCTAAATGTTTCAGTTCACTAAAATCCAATGTTTGGTGAATACGTTCGAATGCCTTTAGGGCTTTTTTCCAAGTGATTGAACGCAGCCAGGGACCGAAGCTGGGATTGTGGCAGTGTGTAGTGTGTGGGTGATCCAGGCTGTTGCTGTACAACACCTGGCATGCAGCAGGAACAGTCACGCAAGCAGATAGGGTGCTGTTTTTTTGTTTTTTTTTAGAAACTGTAAATCCCAGAAATGATAATTACTGATGTAGGAAAGCCAGCTATTGGTGTAAATCTCGATGGATTCTGTCCGTCGTCTCCGCAGCCTGAAGGTGATTGATATTCAGTGTCCCTATAGAGAGGACAGCTTGTATCTCAGTCTGATCTACGCCGTATAAAAGGAGTGTATTCACTGAACAGTAAATGGAAAGTGAATTGCAACATTAAGGCCTATTTTATTGAGCTGGAAGATGTTTTTAATCTCAAATTAAATTTAAATTCTTCTTTTCTATTTAATTTTAATTGGCACAGTCTGGCTTTTTATTATTTAAATTTACCTTATGGGTTTTGTTCATTAAACACCAATGGGTAGTGAATTGATTACAAAATTGCAAAATCTAGGCTAAAACAGCTGGTCTGTGAAATTCATCATGTTGCAATTAACCTTCCAAATCATAACAATTCAGTGTCTAGTGAATACACCCCTCTGTTACCACAAACGGAATGCATACCCTTGCAGCCAGTGCCCCCTAGTGTTCAAACTGTATAATGCTGTGGTTTTTATCTGGTTGTATGAGAAATTCTTTGCAACATTGGAAAGGACTTCGGAATCTGATAATATTGCTTAAATTCTGTCTTTTTTTTTTCTTTTAAATAAAAAAAAACCTTGTAGAAGAAATAAAACAGATAATTTTTGGTTGCATAGGAGAATGATCTTTGAGGAAGTCTTTATAAAGACAATGGTCTTTATTTACTAAACACTGAAATGCAGTGAATTAAAAAAATAATAATTGTTAATTATTATTATTTTGTAAAAAAAAAAAAAAAAATACAACTCACAGATCTTTGAAATGTGGTTTTAAACTTGACGTTTAGCTAACAGATCCCTGTAGGTGGCAAAGGATTGTGAAACCCATGAGATGATTTAGTGGTGATTACAGACGGCAGATGACATTAATTTCTTAACTTTTTTAAATTTATTTATTTTTGAGCGGAACCTAAACAACATACATAACATCGGCTTGGCAACCAATGTTTTAATATTAAAATTACCCTAGTAGCCCATTGTTCATGTATGTGCTATTTAATATCTCTCTATTAATTCTGCTGTACACTTTCATTAGACTCTTTGTATGAAATTAGAGAATTTTTATTGCCCTGGGAAAGACAGAACCACAACTGTTATTTGCACTAGAAAAAGTGCAGAGATAAGCTACAAAATTTATCAACTGAATTTTAGTTATGAAAAAAGGTTAAAAATATTTAAATCTCTTTAGTTCGGAAAAATGGCGCCTGAGAGGAGATATGATAACATTATACAAATATATCCGAGGCCGGTACAAACCATTATCTGGAAATCTATTCATAAACAGGGCTATACATAGGACACAAGGTCACACATTTAGGCTGGAAGAAAGGAGATTTCATCTAAGGCAAAGGGTTTTTTTACAGAGCAATAAGGATGTGGAATTCTCTGCCTGAAGAGGTGGTTTTATCAGAGTCCATACAGATGATTAAACAGAAATTTGAGAAATACTTCCAAAAACAAAACATAGAGGGATTTAATTTCTAATTTATGGCTGGGTAATAGGGGTAATAGCTGCTTGATCCAAGGAGATATCTGACTGCTATTTTGGGGTCAAGAAGGAATCTTTTCTTAGTTTGTTGCAAAATTGGAAGCGCCTCAGACTGGGTTTTTTTGCCTTCTTTTAGATCAACAGCAAAAACATATGTGAGGGAGGCTGAACTTGATGGACGCAAGTCTCTTTTCAGCTATGTAACAACTGTAATAAGTCTATTGTGACCAGCTTTCTGGGACCTGCTAAATATAATAATAATAATTATTATTATTGGTATTTATATAGCACCAGCATATTCCGTGGCGCATTACAGTATTATCAGAGGGGGAGATTTAACAATAAATTAGACAATTACAAAACTTAGAGGAACAATAATATAAAGAGGACCGTGCTCAAACAAGCTTACAGTCTATGGGAGGTGGGGTATAAATCACAGTAGGACAGGAGATAGCAATCAAACATGGTGGGAGTGAAGCAGAGCTGGAGGAGAGAGTAGAGTGCTACCCTTTAGGAGAGAGCAAGAGACAGGTATGTGAGGTAGAGGTTACTCTGGGACAGGGGCGGGCTGGGCCGGGGGGCAGGGAGGCAATTGCCCTCCAGGCCGCCCTAAATTCCTGTAAGGCCGGCCGCGGCGGGCCGGCCCTTTAAATACTGCAGCCGCCTGAGCGCTCTGTTAAGAGCCTCAGGCGGCTGTATTTCTTTGGGTCGAAGCTGCACTCGGTCCATGCGTGGTTTCCGCCAGCCGTCGAGTGATAGGAGGGTACCACCGAGTGTGCACTTCCTGTCAGTCCGGCCGTTACAGGAAACAGAAACCCCGTTCCGGGCTGAGTTTCCTTGTTTTGAACATCGACCGGACTGACAGGAAGCGCACACTCCGAGTGTGCCTCCTATCACCCGCCGCACGGGCCACCAACAAGGACCGGAGTGCAGCCCGCCACGCCTACAGGAGGGGGCAAGGAAGAGGGGAGGGGGATAAGAAGAGGGGAGGGGGGATAAGAAGAGGGGAGGGGGGAATAAGAAGAGGGGAGGGAGGGGAATAAGAAGAGGGGAGGAGGGGAATAAAAAGAGGGGATAAGGGGAATAAGAAGAGGGGAGGAGGGGAATAAAAAGAGGGGATAGGGGGAATAAGAAGAGGGGAGGGAGGGGAATAAGAAGAGGGGAGATAAGAAAAAGAGGGGGTAAGAAGAAGAAGGGGTGAGTAAGAAAAAGATGGGGGAGTAAGAAGAAGAAGAGGAGGGAGTAAGAAAAAGAGGGGGGAGTAAGAAGAGGGAGAGGGGGAATAAGAAAAGGGGGAGGGCGGAGTAAGAAGGAGGGGAGGGCAGAGTAAGAAGGAGGGGAGATAAGAAAGAGGGGGGTAAGAAGAAGAAGAAGGGGTGAGTAAGAAAAAGAGTGGGGAGTAAGAAGAAGAAGAGTGGGGAGTAAGAAGAAGAAGAGGGGGTAAGAAGAAGGGTGAGTATGAAGAAATGGGGGGAGTAAGAAGAAGAAGGGGGAGGAAGAGGAAGAAGAAGAAGGGGGGGTAAGAAGAAGAAGGGGGAGCAATAAGAAGAAGGGGGTTAAGAAGAACAGGTGGGGGAGTAAGACGACCAAGGGGGGAAGTATGAAGAACACAGGGAGGAGGGGGGTAAGACTAACACAGGGGGTGTGAGGAGAACACATAGAGGGAGGAGTGAGAAGAGCACAGGGAGGGTGGGTGAGTGTGAGAAGAGACCGCTAGGGGAGAGGAGAGACCACTAAGGTGCAGGGGAGAGCTCTACGGGACAGAAGGGGCAGCTCTATAGGACAGGGGCCAAGACAGGGAGCTCTTTCACACTACGCGCGCGCACACACACACAATGCATCCCTATACATACACAGAAACACAACATGCTTCCCTTACACACAGAGAAACACACAATGCATCCATTACACACACACACACAATGCAACCCTTACACACAAAGACAATGCATCCTTTGCACACATACACAGAAACAGACAATGCAAACCCGTACACACATATGCAAACACACACACTTCTTTTCTTACATACACACAGAAACACAATGCATCTCTTACACTCAATGCACACACATACAGACACACACCTTGCAACCCTTATGCATACAAACACAGATTCACACAATGCATCCCTTACGCACAACCAGAAACACATAATACATCCCTTATACACAAATACACACTGCTTCCACTACACACAAACACACTACATCACCTGCACAAACTGGTAACCCTATACACTACATACCATAAGCACACATATTAGATCCTCTACAATAACACATAACACATCCCCTACACACTCCACTCCCTGTGAGCGAACTCATGGGTGGGTGGAACTTATGAGTGGGCCTTATGGGCATACTCACCGTCAGGCCCTGGGGCCCAGACCTTGAGCTGTGTAAGGGGCCCCAAAAAATGGAGCTGCTTCCAATTCTCCCAGAACATTGAATTTTGTGACCACAGCTGCAAACAGCCTCCAGAGATCCTGTTCTACACCAGACCAGTGGAGCCAAACTGCAGCCCATCATCATCCTCATCTGCTTGTAAGTAGGCAATCTAGTATATTATTAGTGACACTAATCTATAATGTACCTCACATTAAAGGGACACTATAGCTTAATGAAGTGGTTCTGGTGTCTATAGCTGGTCCCTGCAGGCTTTTTAATGTAAACACACACTGTGTGCAGCACTGGCGTTAGTTCATATGGGTGGGGCATTGTGATGTCACATGGGGGGGCAGCAAATTTTTATTTTGTCTAGGGCGGCAAAAATCCTTGCACCGGCACTGATCCTGGGCAGGTGCACCAGTCTACTGGTGACCCACAGGAGGGGAGTGCACTGATTGCACTGCACTCTCCTCCTGTCCAGCCCCATCTTTACCGCAGTGCAAGTGCCCTCTGCCCCTAATTTACAGTGGCTCACACTCACAACAAGCAGTGCCTGGAGCCGTGAAGGAGCGGGTATGGCAAAGAGCTACTGATTAGCATAACATCAATATCCGTTATAAAACCAGGAAAAGGTGGGCATGGATGGTGAACTGATTTGGTGGTGCAATGGGCCACTTGACTGGTTTTGCCCCCCAGGCCTAAGGCTACCAACCCTCCCCTGCTCTGGGAGGCCATAAGCTTTCATAAAGAGATGGGTTTTAAGGCACTTTTTAAATGATTGAAGACAAGGGGAGAGTCTGATGGCCGTAGTCAGGCTATTCCATAGGAAGGAAGCTGCCTGCAAGAAGTCCTGCAAGCTTGAGTTGGCCGTAGAGAAGGTCATGGGCAGAGTGTAGAGACCGAGAAGGGGCATATCTATGGATCAGTGAAGAGATATAAGAGGAGCTAGAATTGTTCAGTGCTTTAAATGTGTGGGTTAGCACTTTGAATTGACTCCTATAGGATACAGGAAGCCACTGTAAGGACTGGCAGAGGGGAGAGGTGTGAAAGGAGCAACTGGAGAGGAAAATCAGTCTGGATGTGCCTCTTCTATATATTGGGGACACAGACAGAGTCCTTTGGTCTATTTGGTAGCCCAAGCTGGCTCCACTGGGTTTCCTGCTCCATGCGGGACATCTTTGGCTGTAACCGCATCATTAGCAGACCAATATAATGTGGATTTTCCTAGGCCACTGGGAGCCCTCATCACCTGTGAATTCCCATTAATTACCTTTTTGAGTACAAGTGAGTGAAGAGTAAACCCAGGGTAGGGCCTACAGGACCAGCTGCAGCCTTTCTTCCTCCCAAGCTACAATGTTCCGTGACTGGTGGCATATGTTGAATGGTATGTGAATATTATTTAGTGGTATTGTGCACCAATGATTTACCTTGATCAGCATATAAAATGGAGAAATAATGCCATATCAATGCCTATACCAATACCCAGGTGCTGTGCCATTTGGCTGAAATTTTTTATTTTATGTTTATAATATGTTGTAAAGGTCTACAGAGACTGCCCATGATGACCCTTATCCACCAACAAAAGCGCCTTAAGTGGAGACGTGAGCATTAGAAATGGTCCATGGAGTAATGGAAAA